TATATATATATTTGTAGCCATTCCTCCTCCAGTGGGCCTTTAGAATATTTCCATTATTTTATTAACACCTTCGATGTCACAGAGGACATTCTGTGAGCCCTCCCACTACAGTCCCACCACAAGCATTTTTGAGTGGTTTCCAGTTCTAGGAGCTGGGGAGGCCACAATGAACAAAACAGAGAAAAATCTGTTCACTCATGGAGCCATTAATTAAAATAGGCAAAATGTTTAAATTTTGCCAATGTGACAGGTGAAAGGTTCACAGGTGTCTAACTTCGGCTTTTACTTATTTTGCAACCCATTTATAATAGGTAAAAGCCACATAGCTGACCATGAGATCAGGGCTCTGGGGACCCTGGGTTGCAGATGTTTGATGAGAAATGCAGGGAGTCAGCTACTCATGGGAGAGGGTGAAGGAACAGAGGGAGAAGCAGCCACCATCCGCTTCAAGCTCTTGAAGGGACCTGAGAGACAGGCTAAGCAATCAGATCTGAACATGCCCTCCCAACTCTTTCACTTCCCTTTCCAAACATATGAAATATGTGCATGTAAATGTGTAAAATATCATAGATTATTAGACTATCAAATGCAATAGCAAACTTTGAGGGATAAAGTAACATCACATCAAATGCCCTCATCTTGAATTTCAGAAATGCAAACATTTGAAAGGAAGTTATGCTTCAGCATTAAGGACACAGTTCCTCTTTATCTATATATGTTTTGGTGAGGGTCAGGGGATGTATGAGTGGGTGCCCACTGGCCCGTCTCCAGCTCATCCAGCTCTTTAAAAATATGTTTCCAGTTCTTTAAACATGTCCAACATTGGTGTAAAAGGACTGGGACTAGATCAAAGAACCTGATGCCCCAGGCACTCCACTCCAGTTTTTATCCCACTTGAGCTAGGTCAAAGAAAAACATTGATCAGAGTCATGACTGTTACTGCTTGGGCAATGTAATCTGGAAAGTAACACTTATATTGGAAGGACAGGGCTCATGGGCCAGGGTCAGTGAGGCATTTCTAGAAAATGTTTTGACATATTGTAGTTATTGCAAAAATTCTTTCCAGCCAGACTCTCGGAAGGATTAGTTTAAGGATGGCAGACATGCCAGCCAATTCTGTTGGCTTGCTGCACAGCCTACCTAATTCTCCAAGATGGATCTCTATGCTTACAGCACCCCTAAGGAAAGTAATTCTGTCATTTTGGGTGAAGGATGAGGTATATTGTCATGCAGTTGGCAAGGCATGAGCCTTCGAGGCCAGTTCTGCTGACTCTTTGCTGAGAGCTTCCCCCTCCTCCCCAAGGGGATGGAGAGCTGAGGATCTGGACATTTAGGGATCACTTCTTGTCTTCTGTCTCCTGCAGGGCTGCAAGACAACCCCTGGGCATGTGACTGCCGACTCTATGACCTGGTCCATCTCCTGGATGGCTGGGCTGAAAACTTGGTCTTCATCGAGGCCAGACTGAGGTGTGCCAGCCCACGTAACCTGGCCGGAGTAGCCTTTAGCCAGCTGGAGCTGAGGAAGTGCCAAGGCCCAGAGGTCCGTCCTGGGGTGACCAGCATCAGGTCCCCCTTGGGCAGCTCTGTATTGCTACGTTGTGGAGCCACTGGGATCCCTGGACCTGAGATGAGCTGGAGAAGGGCCAATGGGCGCCCACTCAATGGCACAGGTGGGTTAGCTTCAGGGCCTTCTCTCTAAGTCCAGGCCTGAGGCAGGTGGATCGATACCCCAAGTAGGAAGTGGGCAGGACCAGATGGAGGGACTTTGCTAGGCTGGATTCCCAAGTGCCTGAATGGAGTTGAGAGGATCCATCCAGGGACTGAGCCCGGAACAGTGGGTTTATGATGACGCCAGGTCCCCATCTGTACTGTCAATCCTACTAGCATCTGGCTTAGAGACTCAGGTCATTTCAAATGGATAGAAAGTTGAATTTTTAGTAGAAGACACTATGATTGCACTTAATGCTTACAGTACATTTCCCAGTTGTGAATATTAAGCCAGTGTCATCAGAAGTAACCAGGAATGCAGGTTACTGGGATTAAGCTCTTTCGTGTGAGTTTGTTGTTATTTCATTAGGCCTGCCCATCTTGCCTGTTTACCCTTATTTTGCATATGAGGGAATGGAGGCTCTGAGAGGCTGCAGGCCTAGGCCATCTCGCACAGCCAGCGGAAGATCCCAGGCCCACCTTGCTGATTCCAGGGTGGGTGTTTTTGGTGAGGCCACACAGGCAGAGAGAGCTGAGGTCTGTCATTGTGGCACTCGCAGGTTGGAGTCACAGCCAGCTTTAGGCAGAGAGTGTGGAGGAGAAATGATTTTGTAGCACCTGACCACAGAACCTGGAATCCTCCTCCACCTCCTACTCCTGCAGTTTCCCCTCCATTAGGCTGACAGCTGTTGTTGTCCACAATGGTTTTGAAATCAGGAACAAGATGGCACCAAAGTTGTACTGTGTGACAGGCAAGCAAGGGTGCTCGAATGGCAGCAGCTGTGAACAGAGGGACCCCCAGCTGGGTCTTTGCTCAGGTTCACCCCAACCACCTCCCTGGAGGCCTCACCAGGGGTCACTACCACAGAACCCTCAGCCTCTGATGATCAAAAAGCACTATGGACATCTAAATTTTTTAAAAATTACAGTAATAGACACATTGCTGTTAATTCCCCTGAGTCCTCTCACCCTCCTCGCCTCACATACATGCACCCCACTGTTCTTAGTGTACTTTTTAGTGCAATAAGATTATTCAATTAGCAATAATCATGCCTCAGATAAATCTCCCAGGCTATGACACTGCCACTACACAAAGCTATAAGATTTTTGAAAATGTAAGCAAGAACTGTAGTTTTTTAATCACTTTATTTATTTATTTATTATTTATTAATTTATTTATTTGATCACCCCTTTTAGAAGGCAGTTGATTTTAGGCTCTGCCTCAGCCTGGAGCTCCACGGGCTCTCCCAAATCGGATCCCATGTCCTCTTGACCTCTAGGCTGGTCTAAGCCAAAATTATAGGTTGTCCAGGTCAGGACCTGGGCCCTGACTGAGGTTGAAAGCTAATTGCTGGGCAGCGTTTCTGGGGATCACAGGGTCCCCAGTTCTGTGTGGGCAACTTGGCACTGAAAGGAGCAAGGGCCAGGTGGCAAGTTTGTTCTCTCACATCTGCCTCTTCTCCTCCTCCCAGTGCACCAGGAAATTTCTAGTGATGGCTCAAGCTGGGCTCTCCTGGACCTGCCTGTAGTGTCGCACTTTGATTCTGGAGACTACATCTGCCAGGCCAAGAATTTTCTGGGGGCCTCAGAGACGCTCATCTCCCTGATTGTCACTGAGCCCCAGACCCCCACAGAAGACAGCTGGAGCCCAGAGGTGAGGTGGGCGAGAACAGGCGTTGGAGGAGAGGCTGCTGCTTACAACAAGCTGGTGGCCAGGCATGTGCCCCGGGTGCCCAAGCCTGCCTTGCTGGCCGTGAGGCCCTCCATGCCCAGTGTGAAGCAGGAGCTGGCCCTGCAGCACTTCCAGCTGGACGCACCGGGGGAGCTCTCACAGGAGCAGGAGGAACCAGTGGTGAGGTCACTCAAGGTGGTGGGGGACACCTATGACAGTGTGTCCCTGGTGTGGAAGGTGCCCCAGGCTGGGAACACAACAGCCTTCAGCGTCCTCTATGCTGTCTTTGGGCAGCGTGACATGCAGCGGGTGACGGTGCAGCCAGGCATGACCAGTGTTACCATCCAGGGGCTGACCCCCAAGACTAAGTACGTGGCATGTGTGTGCGCACGAGGCCAGGTGCCACGCAAGGAGCAGTGCGTCATCTTCTCCACCGACGAGGTGGCAGAGGCTGAGGGCACCCAGCGGCTCATCAACATGGTAGTGATCAGCGTGGCAGCCACCACTGCCCTTCCGCCCACACTGCTTGTGTGCTGCGGGGCGCTCCGCAGACGCTGCCGCAAGTGTCGCGCACGAGGCTCTGGGGAGGCAGCGGGTGCCTACATGCATCTAGAGAGACTGGCTCGCGGGGAAGACGGCTCTGAGGAGCTATCCAGGCAGAGCCTCAGTGGAGAGGCTGACAGGCTCCTCTCTGCACGCTCCAGCCTAGACTCCCAGGCAGGCAGGCGCATCAATGAGTACTTCTGCTGAGTGCCACCTGCCGCTCCTGCCTGGACACCTTCTAGTCATACTTCCACCAACAACTCCTGAAGCAAAATGCTGACTGAATGCCAGGATGTGTTCTATGCATTTTATCTGCATTAACTTGTTTAATTCTCATAACATTTGTAAAAGCCACCACTTTTTTTTTCTCCCTTTTCCTGGAGGACAAACAGAGGGCTAAGTAAGGTGTGTGTATAAGTCAGTTTTGCTGTGTAACAAATAAAGCAAAAGCTCTGTAGTACACACTCACTTCCATACCCATGGGTATTCAGTGGACTGAAGTGGCTGTGCTCTGGGTGTCCTATTTAGAGCTAGCTTGGAGAGCAGCAGTAGTCACCTGGGGCAGACTTCTCTCAGAGGGAGGTCATATAGCATCAGCAAAAGGAGCAGAATTGCAAAGTGATGCCTCTTAAGTTCTTAGACCAGAATTGGTGCACTGCCATTTCTGTCTGCCAAAGCAAGTCTCAGAGCCAAACCCAACTTAACACAGGTGAGTAAGGACCCTTACCCATGGGGCTGAGCCCAAGCATTTGCTGAGCAGGTTCTCATTTGTTCTCTTGCTCACCCAGCTGTGGCAGCTCTGGAATCCGCTGACAGTTGCCCATTCCAGTGCCACATCTCTGACACCGATGCCAACTCCTGGCCCTTGCATCGCAGTCTCTCTATGTGAGACTCATCTGTACTCACTGCCTTCACTGTATTCCAGGCGCCCACCATGGCTCCTCGCTGAGCTCTAGTATTTGTTCTCTGGGTGTTATTCTGCCTGGAGATGAGAATTCAATCCTCAAGAAATTTTGGAGGGTAGGTGACACCTGAGGGGCCCCCTTTGCATGTGTCCCCGGCGTGTCACACTGGAGCGATCAAGGAGACTCTTAATAGCAGAAGACTCTGTCACATCCAATACCATTGGCAGCCTGCTCTCCTCGGGCCCGTGGCGACTCTAGCTGAAACTTACCTGCATTTTTGAGAGTCTCTCAGGCCTTTCTGCTGCTCCTTAGGCCCCTGCACAGGAGGCTTCATGTTCGGTTTCACCTAAAGCTAGGGAACTACTGAGTGGACTCTGCACACAGGAGAGAGCGAATGTCCTCAGAAGGTGCTTCAGCTTGGTGTTGTCTGCAGAGCTGGGCTTTAGTGAGGCAGCAGTGAGGGTGCCTGGTGTCAAGCCTTTGGGTGACAAATGAGAACATTTGGGGACAGCAAGTGGCCCAAGGGAATTTTGTTTTGGCTATTGTCATGTAAGAACCTCCATATCACACTGAGCACTTCCTAGATAAGAAGCACACTGCGGTCTCTATTTGTGGTTTGTGAATGTTTCCTTTAAAGAAAACCAGACGGTATATGTTGTAGTCTCTGTCACTGCTACTGCTACTGTACTCTGCTGGTGAGTGAAAAAGTGGGCACAGATGGTACATCAGTTCATGGACATTGATCTGTTTCATTAAAATACTGCCTATAAAAACAAGTGACAAGGGTTTGACCCACAAGCTGTACTTTGCCAGCGTTTCCTAGATTTGTATAGGTTTTTCTACTGTGTCTTTGAACACTCAAGACTCCTTTTGGATTGATTGGTGCATAGGAGTGGCAGACAGCTCCCCATAAATTAGAACAAATATAAGCACAACCAATGAAAACAGCCACCTGTTAAAATGCTATATTGTTTAAATGGCTATTAGAGTCAATCAGGATTGAACAATAATTGATCAAAAGACAACTAATATCCAACTAGATGTTCTGAATTGTTTGAAGAAAAATTAGAAAACTGAAAGCAATAGTTAGGGAAGGAGAGGGAGAGACAGAGGCAGGCAGGCAGACAGAAACAGACAAAGAGAGACAGAGACAGACAGAGAAACTGACAAAGATAGACCTCAAACTTTCTAGTGGCTCATTAGGGCCTGTCTTTGTGGCCCAGATGATTATGAGTTCTGAGATGGTCAGCCTCCCTGTACTCAATATTAATCTTCACTTTATGTATTTCCTGTAAGAATTATTCTGAATTGTGCTCATGAATATTTAAATCACTTAAAAATTCCCTTGGTAAAAATAAATGTTTTCTAGTTTATATATTAATCTTCTCATGTATGTCTGGTTAATATGAGTCATGCTCTGCAGACTAACTGATCCTGTAGTGTCCTGCAGAAGGAATTTCTGTTCCTCTGGTGCTGTACTCTAGCCAGTGCTATTGTAGTCTCAAGAAATGTGGCCTTCAGAAGCCTACTTTGGATTTGGATGGAATCATAGCATGCTCATTGCGTCTTTCCTGATAACAGCTTGGTTACTTTCCTCATAACTAGGCAGAAGACATATCCACTGTCACTCATCTGCACCCGCCCACCTAAGTTGCAAGGTCCATGAAGACAGATAGCAGGAATTATGGCCTGGTATTCAATCAAGGGATTCAGTGAACAGTTTGTGCAAAGGTTGGTTTTGGTTTTAATGATCTTGAAATCAATTAAAGACAAACATGAATTACAAGCACTTGAGCACATCCTACCTAGTTGCCAGGGCACTGTAGCAGGATAGGGTGGGCTTGTGCTTAACATGTGGTGATCGATTGCTGCTTCTGCTGAGTGCCCTTCTGCAGGTGGCAAGTGTGGGTGGAGGGAAGCTCTGCTTCATTTGCTCATTCAAGGATTCAGCATGAGGGAGGCCCCACCATCTGGACAGCAGTGGTTTCCCCACAAGGAAGAAGAGAAACTGGAGAGTTATACAGGGGCATTTCCTCTAACACTTTGCATCCAAAACATGGGCCTCCAGGCCTGCACATTTCATGGAGGCTTGAACTGTGGTCTTCTGTGTGTCCATCACAGGTACACCATGAGCACATGACATGGCCAAGGGACCACATCAGACAGGGTCAGCAGCAGATGGGGGACACGGGAAGAGCTCTGGCATGAGCAAAATGAAAGACATTATCTGGTCCCTAATAGACTGTCCAGTTCTGAAGACTATCTCAAGATTCTGCTAACATTTGGGATGCAGAGGCATTTTCCAAATGAACAGATAGGACAATCTCTTAAGATTCTTTTAAGGGAAGCCAGAGAGCTGTCTCCAGCAGCTATTTATATCTAATTATTCACAAGCACAGAGTAACCCCTTTCCCATGACTCTGTCTCTATCAAGAGTTCTGAGAGCTGAGTTCCTAAAAGCATCAGGCAGGAGAGGAGATGGCATTGAAATTTTCAAAAACCCTTCCCTTTTGTTGTCAGTGTTTCATGAGTTTAGGGACTACATGTAAGTATAAGTTACTTCAGCTAACTGGCATGACACAGGCTAGCTTTATTTGTCCTTAGTCTTCAGCATTAGCTCCCCAAATAGCTGCTCCTTACACCCTTATACTAAGCTGGAAACTAGAAAAGTTAGGACAGCAGGGGACCGGGTGACTCCAGAGATGGCACACCAGTTGGGTGCTCTGCACAACTCTCAGCCACTGTCGGGAAGGTTAATGGAGCTGGATTTATGTGAAAATATTAGCATGGATTTGACAGAGAAGAAATTGTAGGGAAGAAAAAAGATTCTTTAGGCTTTTATGGTGGGAGATAAAAGGAAGAAAAGTACTTCACTGGTGGTTTTGGGTCCCTTTAAGTTGACCCACATATTTCTATGAAACAAGCCTGACTTGGTAAAAGTGACACACTGTCACTATCATGTGTCCCCATGGTTTCTGACTAGCAGCTCTAAAGCTCTCACCATCCTCACTCCCAAGTATGGGGAGCCTAGGGAAGGCCAAGACCTTGCACCAGCACCCGTACAGCTCAGCATCAGCTTGTCTCTTGAAAGGAAGATCCCGGCAGTACAGCTTCATGCCCACACTAAACTTTGTGCCCATAGAACTCTGGTTTGGATTTTTACCTTAGGGGAATTCCAGAGATCCACCCAGACTGTAGGGTGAGACAGGGAACTCCAGCAAATATATCCAGCATTGAGTAGAAAGCCTAGGATGTAATCAGCTTAGCTGGTGACCCATTTTCCTCCCACTGGTTAGCCACTAAGCGGATTTTTTTGCTGAGGCCATTTGTAGGGTATAATGTATATCATGAGTCTTAAAAGAAACCACCATATTTCAGTGTTCATCTGAAAGTATCTCTATTCATAGGGAGGTAGGTAGTTCTGTTTTTCAAGAATCTGTTGCTATGGGAAGTGAATTACCAGGCAACTTCTGTATCTAGGTGCTTTATTTTGCATAATTTAACATTTCTTAGGAACACTGAGACCTTTCTTAATATTCTCACTCTGAAGAAGAGAAACTGAGACTCAGAGGTTAATGACATTGCAAAAACCTCACACTCAGAAGTATAAGCAAGAAAGCAGCCCACAGGGGGCAGGGTCTGTAACAGTTTCGCTCACCACTGCATTCTTGCACCTAGCAAGTGTATGGTAGAGTAGATGACAAAAGAGTACATGTGACATGAATGAAGTTTAGAAAGTACCCTAAAGCATATGCATATCATTAGAAAATACAGGTATGTCACTTTGTGCAAAACAAAATACATAGCATTCAAGAAAATAACAACAAAGCTTTGATTTTATAAAAACAAAACAAACAAACAAAAAAACCCAAGCTACCTTCTATGTTTGGAGGAGGTTTATTTTATTTTATTTTTTTGTTTGTTTTTGGTGCTAAGGACCGAACCCAGGGCTTCCAGCTTGCTAGGCAAGCATTCTACCGCTGAGCCAAATCCCCAGCCCCTACCTTCTGTGCTTGAAGTTGCACTGTGATATTTCCCTGTGTCTGGTCACCAAAGCTGAAGATACTGCTGTCTTCATGTAGTGAAGATGTGAGGAACTACACCTCCAGGGTTCTTGGGGAGAGAAACTATGATAAGAACAACCACCATTACTCATCCTCTTCTTTCACTTGGAGGAAATGTTTGAAAATTCTCATTTGGAGAACCAATTGTGAGTGTCTTGGTTACTTTTCTCCCATTGCTTGGACAAAATAGCTGATTCCCAAAATTAAGGAAGGAAAATTTTATTTAGCTCACAGTTTCTGGAAGTTTCAGTCCATACTCAGCTGGCTCCAAGGCTGGGTGATATATGGCAGAGGGCAAAAGTTCATGATGGTAGAAAACAGCAAAAGCAACAAGAGCAGCAATGGAGGAGCAGAGTGAGCAAGCCTCTTCCCCTCCCTTACGCTGCATGCAGGCTGCCTGCCCCAGAGTGGGTGCGGCACCCACACACATAATCACCGCACTGGATGATCCGTGAATCAATCATAAACTCTAGAAACCTGCCCCGTGGCTGCGTGAGACTTTGGAGGGACACCTAGATGCAAGCTATACTAGTGAGTGATGAAGTATTAGATGGATTCTGGTTCAATCGTTCCAATAAGTGGTTGGAATTGCACTCCCTACTTTGTTCTCAGGCTCCTTGGTAAGACGATCAGAGAAAGTAGAACCAGCATGGAGTTGGACATCTGACTTAAGGTTTGCTCTCCAGACTCAAGAGCCAGACAATGAGTGGATTTTGTGGCTTAGTTATGACACATTGCACTCTGCCTGGGTTCTGCCTGAGCCTGTGATCCAGGCCTTAACAGACCTCAGGACATCTCGGGGCTTTGACTGTGCTGACCTACATGACCACGGATCACCGTGGATTACCCGTAATAGGATTTGCCACTTGGAAGCTGGGACCATAATTACTAAAAACATACAGGGTAGTTTCCTACAGAGAAATATGGCTGCAGCTTTTCAATATTTCCTTCTAATCCTAGCCTTTCTGAATACATGTGCATCTCAGCCTGTCTGTGTGCCAGGATGTACCTGCTCAGAGGAGAGTTTCGGCAGGTGCGCAGTGCTGACAGGATCCTGGGGGTTAAAGGAGCTAGAAGTTGCTTGGGGATGTTATGGAGTAGATGGAGGCTTAGAATTGTCAGTAAATAAGCAAAATTTCCACGATGCCCATTTTAATTGGTGTTGCACTCTTGTAGACTGATCATTTTAAATCCAAATTGGTCTCTTTTGTTTCAAATAAATATTTTTCATCTAAGTCACATCAAGATCCATGGGATACCATTTTCCAGTGTCCTGATATTTCTCTTAAAGCTTTTCTGTGTGCTTGTTTTTTATAGAGCTCTGCTGTGCGTATCTATTTCTTTGGGGAAAATTCCAGGCAACCTTCCTGAAGAGTTCAAGCAAGTGCGAATTGAAAACTCACCCTTATTTGAACTCTCCCGAGACTCTTTCAGCAACGTGAGCACCTTGGAATACCTCTGGCTCAACTTTAACAACGTCACCGTGATCCATTCAGAAGCCCTGGACCACTTGCAGGAACTCAGAGAGCTGAGGCTGGAGGGGAACAAGCTCCAGTCAGTACCGTGGACAGCGTTCCGTGCCACTCCTCTCCTGAAAGTCCTGGATCTGAAACACAACAGGATCGATGTACTTCCAGAGCAGGCTCTTCAGTTCCTGGGCAACCTCACCTATCTTGACCTGTCCTCCAATAGGCTGACTGTTGTATCCAGTAGTGTCTTCGTGAACTGGATGACCTACCAGAAACACTGGCATCCTGCATGTGGGGACAGCATTCTCTCCAGCATGGTGCTTGCACTGCACAACAACCCCTGGGAATGTGACTGTCGGCTAAGAGGACTTATCCAGTTTGTCAAGTCCATTAGCTTCCCCATCATCCTGGTGAACTCCTACCTGATATGCCAGGGCCCGCTCTCCAAGGCAGGACAGCTTTTTCATGAAACTGAGCCCAGTGTTTGCATGAAGCCAAAGATCTCAACCCCCAGTGCCAATTTCAGCATCCAGGCAGGACAGAATGTGACCCTACGGTGCTTGGCCAAGGCCAGCCCTTCACCAACCATTGTGTGGTCCTACCCCCTGAGCATGTGGAGAGAATTTTCTGGTAAGCTGTGTGCATCCTCTCTGCCTCTCTGGGAGGAACAGAGAGGCGTGCAGTAATTCCACCTCATTAGGAAAGTCCCAGTTGTGTTGATGACAGGACGGTGCAGGCAAGATTAGGAGAGGCCAGGATTAACTCCATAACAGAAAAGATTCCAAGATAGGGTTCCACTAGTGGAACTATTTCAAATGACCATGAATAGATATTCTTAGGTCATTTATATTTAAGTATATGTTGGGTCTGATTTTTAACATAGCATACAAATGTTAGAGAATGGTATATCCATAAATATATCATTTGAGAGCCTTTTGGATGCAACACACCATATTGGAAATTTTAGAATCCTATAAATGGAATTAGAACTAATTCATGAGAGTATCATAATTCTTTATTTCCTAAACTTGCCTCAGCAGAATCACTCAGGATGCTTGTTCGAAGTACATTTTCCAAACCCTTGTCCTGTGGGTCAATGGCTAAAAATATGACTACACAAATTCCTAACTCTTCTGCCTCCAGCTAATTCTTACTATTGAGCAAGGTTTGGAAGTTCTAGATATTGATTGAATTTTCACTTATTACCACTGTGTTGATCAAACCTTATTAGATTGACTTTGTTACTGTTTGTTTTGCAGTCTTGGAGTTTGAACCTAGGACCTTTGTATCAAGTTACATCCCCAACTCTTTTTTATTAAAACTTCTTATTAGAAACAAGGTCTCACAAATGACTAAGTTGATTGAGCTGGGCTTAAACTTTCCATCCTCCTGTTTCAGCTTCCTGAATTGCTGGATTACATGGAGTGAGAAACTTGAAATTCTATTGTACGCAGTCTCCCAGAAGTAACAGCAATGACTACTGAACACTTACTGTCAAACCTGTGCTACTGTCATCCCATTCTGACAAGGGATGAGGGAGGCCAGGTGAATTTGGGCCCTCTTCCCAGGATCATGCACTTAGTAAGAGACATGAACCCAGGGCCTTGGCTGTGAAGTACTGAACATGTATAAGATAAAAAGATGCACTTCTGGGGGCTCACAGAGTTGCTTAACCATAGGATTATGGGAAATTACCAAGGGCCATGGTCTCAGGCTCAACAAGACTGAGCAGGATGGTAGGGGCAGCTACTGATGTTGGGAGAGTGTTGGATTCCTAGAGAGAAGACCTGGTTACACAACATTTGCTTCTGAACATCTCAGTGTGGGTAAATTTGTGAGTCTCTCTAATCTGTACTTTATGGATTTTCTGGGAGAACACCTGCCATTGTCTAAATGCTCAGTGAATGGCTACCAGACAGGCATAATGGCACACACCTGTGATGCCAGCGCTCTTGGAGGCTGAGGCAGACCCCATTCTGGGAAACTTTGTGATTTGGTGAGACACTGTATTAAAATATTTTAAAAAGGGCCAGAGATGTAGCTCGATGTGAAAGCCCTGGGTTCAATGCCCCACTGCTGCCAAATAAAAACTAGCAGGCTACCACTGAATGGCCGTAGCTCCCAGCTGCCCACTGGAGAAGTGCACAGCTGTCCTGCTCTTCTCTCCACCCAGTGCTGACCTCGTCTGCTGCAGAAGACGCTGTCCTGTCTGAGCTGGTCATTCCAACTGCGCAACCATTGGACAGCGGCAACTACACCTGCGTGGCTTCCAATGCCCTCGGGCGCAGCACCCTGGCCATCCCCCTGCACGTCCAGCTGGCCTGGGAGCCACCCGCAGCCTCTGCTCCTTCCACATCCCATGTGGAGCTGCGTGTGGCCCAGCACACAGCACACGGGGTCCTGCTGGAGTGGCTTGCAGTGGCCCGCACCCCCAAGGAGCAGGGCTTCACACTCCGCATTGCCTCGGATGAAGCTAGCCGGAAGGAAGTGGTGCACCTTGGGCCAGGCATCCACTCCTACGCCGTGGACGACCTTCTTCCTGGCACCAAGTATGAGGCGTGTCTCAGCCCAGGCAGCCACAGCCCCCGCCCTCGCCAGGGCCCATGTGTGGTCTTTGTGACTGGCAGTGTCAGTGGTGCTCCAGAGGGCCGTGAATGCCTGCTGCATGCCACAGTGGTGCTGTGCGCCGTGCTGCTGGTCGTGCCTGTGGGTGCCTATGTCTGGGCAGCCCAAGGTGCCTGCAGCTGGTGTCAGAACTGCTGTCCTCACCGCAGGAGACCCCCCAGGTGCCCTAGAGCAAGGCCACCATGCAAAAATGGTTCCTTTAGAGACCACATAGCTGTCTATGAGGATGGCCAGGGACCTACAGAGCTGCAGGGGGATGGGGAAGACCACAGCTGACCCTCCAGGCCATGGATAGGAAGAGGGCAGGGGGCAGGCCCTGAAACTCAGCTCTTATTGCAGCTGAGGTAGCTCTACACATGTGGGCAGCAAGCAAAAAGGCGGTGCCACCTTATCCTCCAGGAGCTGGACCTCTGACCTAGCCACAGATGGCATTATTACACTCAGTGGCCAGAAGTGAGGACATGCAGATTTTTGTGTTTGGTTTGCATGGTCCTATCTCAGTTACATGTTGACATGAGACATTGACATGTATGTCACTTGACATGCTCCATCCTGTAAAGACGATTGTATGCCCCTTTTTATAGATAAAGAAACTTAAGCCTGGGAAGTTCAGTGATTCACCCAACATAATATTCTGGTGGCACGGGGTCACTCAAAAGAGGACTATTACACCCGAAGAGGCTGAGACAGGAAGCTTGCAGGTTCAAGCCCAGCCTGGTTAGCTTAGTAGACCCTGCCTGAAAATAAAAAGGGCTGAGGATATAGTCCAGTGTGAGGGCCCGGAGTTCCACCCCCTGTACCACAAACAAGCAAACAAATAAACACACTATTCCTATTATTTCATCAAAGGGGGGCTGAAGGGCAGGGACTGACCCTCCTTATTGAGGCCACTACACTCATCTGTTGTCAGGATTTGTCATGGTCAATGCTGCTGGAAATAACCTTTTTAAAGATAGGTCTCACTATTGTAATTCAGACTGGCCTTCATCTCCCAGTGATTCTCTTGTCTCAGCCGCATGCCAGGGAATCCAGTTCCTGCATTTGCCTAAGCAAGCACTTTAATCCGCTGAGCTATCTGGCCAGCCCTTCAGATCTATCATTCTTCCTTTCTTTGGCTTCTTGGTTATTTTCATCTGACCACCGTGGTGTGTAAATCCCACATTTTCATTGTCCATTCACCCACTGACAAACATACGGAGAGGTCATTGATGAGTGGTGAGCTGAGGGTTTGCCAGGACACAGTGCTTGCGTTGACCTCCGCGGTTTCCTTCCTCACCGTCAAGTGGGGGCTTGGGCAGTGCAACCTTCGTGCGGTGAACTGGTGCCCCCTGGAGGCGAGAGGGAGCATGGCCCTCAGCCGAGGAGGTTGGGAGAGGTCAGTTGGACAAGATCCCAGTGAGTGAAGCAGCGCAGAAGGCAGCCTAGCAGCAAGAGCCAGAGTAGAGGGGTGACCCCGATACGGGGGTGGGGGTGGGGATATTACTGAGAGAGGAGGTCTGGGGATCCATAGTGCCTTTTCAGGTTTATATTTCTTAGCCCGTGTTTCCCTACATGACTCTTAGACTCTTAGATTCCTCACGTGGAGGAGTCAGTCTCTGCCTGACCCATCTCGGAGTCTGTTCTCAGCCCCTTTCCCTCCCTCCTCTCGATGCAGGGACGCACCTTGAGAGCAAGATGGTGAGTGAGATACATCAGACGCACAGGCTTGAACGTCCCATGGTTTCTCTTATGCGAGAGACACAAAGCAAAATAAGAGTAAAATAAAAGATCGATAATAGGAAGTAAAGAATCTGAATTTAAAAAAAAAAAAAAAAACCCCTTGGTCTGATTTATGAAAAATTCCACGAGTTCACATCGCAGGTGCTCCTGGGTGTTCCATGGTCCGACGGATCATATTTTCGACCGTACAGTGGTATGAAAGTCATATGCAGTCGGTGGAATCTGAACTTTCAGTGTTGAACTTTGGTCTTCTCTGGGGCTAGTGATCTGTAGTGTAAATGTTCCAGGGATGCCGTACAGAGGCTGTGAACACGAGGGAAACGACTGCTTCCTGCGTGGCAGGGCAAGGGTGTTTGCTCAGTGAGGTGTCTAAAAGCCTCAGCGGTTCAGTGTGGCACTGGGGGTCGGACGCAAGGCATCTGTGTGGTGCTACATCCCCAGCTCATACTTCATTTTTTATTTTGAGACAGGGTCTCCCTAAGTCACTAAATTGCCCAACCTGGGCTTCAGTTTGTGATCCTCCTGCCTCAGCTCCCCAGAGTGCTGGAATTACAGGTCGATGGCACCATATCTAGTTTTAAGTACAGTTTTGATTTATTTTCTATTTACCACAGGTTTCTCCATTGCTAGTAGAGGTGCGTCTGCATATGGGATGGCATGATAGCTGCACGATGCCTTTCACACATTCTACTTAATGCATGCTTTGCGGGGATTCTTTTTAAAATTCATTTTTTTATCAATGTGTGTTTGTAGTACATAATATTTGTATTTCTTATGCGAAGTTGCTACATGTACATAACACATCTTAGTTCCTTTTATCTCCCATCGCCAATCTCTCAATCCCTTCAGTCCACATTTAAGGGTTCTGTCATTTTAGATCCAGTTGCCATTGTCATAGGAAGCTTGTCTATTTAGAATTTAGACCTCCTCATTGTAAGGCACGTGCCTTGGACTTGGGAGACGTCTGTAAGTGGGCTATTTTGAGAGTGAGGCCTTTGCTGAGAGACGTGACCCTTTTCCTGTTTTCTTCTATCTTGTGACACCTTGTCCTCGAGGGCTCAGTGTAGGTGTCAGACTCAGACCTCGTGTGTGCACAGGTGTGATCTGAAGAACAGGTGGGTGGGACCCTGTTCAGCCAGAGGTGCATTCCCATGATTCCAGGCAGTCACACTGGTGTTGCAGATACTGCTGTCCTCTGTGAATCAGATTCAAGTGGCTGAAACCATGGTCACCTCATGCTGGAAGCCAGGCCTCCGGGTGCCCCCTTAGGTCTCTCTGAGTCTCCTAAGGGAATGCCCTGAGTCCACACACCTGTCTGCCTGCCTTGATCTGCAACAGCATTGGCTCCATGATCCCTGTCCAGCCTCCCATGGCCAGGGAATTTGTAGATTTTCAGACGAGATTACCAGGGAGCCAGGTGTGGTGGCACAGGCCTATAGTCCCAGCTATTCAAGAGGCTGAGGTAGGGGTAATTGTTTGGATGCACAAGTTCAAGACCAGCCTAGCCAACAGAGTGAGACCCCAGTTCCAAAACAAAACAAAACAACTGCCATTGCTTGGTGAGACAGAACCCTTGAAGTCCCTGATGATGGAGGATAGTGACTCCTCCCCAACACTCCACCAGCTGGCTCTGCTTCAGGACAGGACTCCACAGGATCCCTCACTGCCCTGGAGTGCAGGTGCTGGAAGGCCAGCTTCAGGTTGCATGGTCACCGACTGTGATGGGTGCCTCGCCCTCCCACACTTCCTTTCCCTTCTCCCTACCCCTCCACTCCCTCCTCCTTCCCCCTCCCCTCCTCAACTCCCTCCCCTCCCCTGTCCTCTCCTATCTTCCCTTCCCTTGTCTTCTTTCCTCTACTGTCCTCTCCTCCCCTTCCCTCTCCTTCCCTCCCCTCTCTCCCCTCCCCTCCCCTGCCCTCCCCTTCCATCTCCTCTCCTCTCCTCTCCCTGGTACACAGGAATGGCCTGGGCCTGTGGATAGGTGCACATGCTCTGGGGAGAGGCTGCATGAGGAGGCTCCTTTCCTTCAGGAAGTGTCCATAGCCAGCCATCCTCAAACACCTTCTTATAGAAGAGGACAATGACTGTACCGAACTGGTATGAGCAGCTGCCAAGTGGCACAAGGAGCTTGGCATGCATTAGTGCCTGTCATCCTCATAGATATGCCTCTGCATCCTGTATGGATAAGAAAAGTGAGGCCCAGAAGACTTAGTCTCATGCCCAAAGTCACCAAAATGGCAGATCCTGAATTCAGACCAAGGGCTGGTGATTTGTAAATGCATTTTATTATTTCATATGGCCAGAAAGTGTGAGCTCAGCACAGGGGGACAGGGAATGACTGCAGGTCTCTCTGAGACACACATGCTGGTTATGCCTGTGGGACTAGTGCTCGCTTCTCAGGGCCAGCTGTGGGAGGCTCTGTTCAGCTGCAATTCCTGCCTCCCAGCTCTCTACCAGGGGCCTGACCTTGTGCCAGCTACAAGGCGTGGCCATGTAGGTGGCCCCTCGACTCACTGTCCCCTACCTAGTGGCACATGGCTGGCCTGACTGCCTGGTGTGTTTCTCCCAGCTGACCACATTTGTGGCCCCTGTTGGTGAGACAGAGCCCTCCTCCTCCAGTGTAGCTGATGCTGACTAGTAGCCTCTTTCCCTGTCTGTGGCTCTGATTGGTCAAGTTTCCAGGTGTGTCCCAGAGCCCAGGTCCATTGCTGATCTGGTTTCCAGCTCAGAGGTCTTAGTGACCACCAATGCAGAGACAAACTACCTCCTATTCTTATGGCCTCCCAGTTGCTGCCTCTGTTGGGCCACGCTGGGCCTTATTATTTCTACTTCCAGATCCTCTTCCTTACCAATCAAGCCTGCCTGGGAAGAAAAGCCCACTCCAAGGCTGGCATGGGCTGTGGTCAGGCAACAAGTCTGCAAACATGCTCCTGTTTGCCATGTGCACAGGCAATTTGGACCAAATTTTGCAGCCTTTGTTAAGAGTCAGATCCAGGAGTTAGAGGTACATTCACTTACTGGAGAAGCTGAGAGGAGCCTGAGGAGGGCTGAGCCGGGCTGTAGGTCAAGAGGACCAGTCTGCATAGGCCAGAGAATGTACATGAAAGCAGCAGCAGGAGGTCGGCTTGTCCTTCAGATTACAGATTTTATTTACCATTTACAAAAGAGATTGGGTGCGTGCATGTAGGCGCTGCTGTGTTCCCTGGAGAGGTAACCGTGGTCCACAGTAGTCCTGAAACATGGACTGCACAGTACTGATCCAGTGCACCAGAGCCCATGACCCCTAATACTGTGTGTCTGCACAGTGGCAGCATGCCTCTAGCATATTTTAACACATATTTTAGCACACTAACAAACCATGTGGGCGCTGCCTGTCCACACGCATCCCACACATAATCTAGAGTACAGATTTGGGGGTGGAGCAAATGCAAAGCAGCGTCCCACTAGTTTCTCCCGTGTGCAAGTGGGTGTGCACACACAGACATCCTCGACAGGAACAGAAGCTCGATGAATTATCCATGGCAGCCCTGCAGGATTTCTATTTTGGCAGAGATTGTCACACCCCAGCTAGAGGAACCCTTGGAGGAGCTGGGGTGTCCTCAGATCAGACCCCTGCTACCAACACACTGTGGTACTGAACAGACTGCTCCTGCGGGCCTGGACTGGAAGCTGCTGCCCAGGACTTGTTCTCTCTAGCAGTGGTGTGGGGTGAGAGAAGGAAGGGAAGGTGTGAGGGCAAGAGCAAAGCCATCATCTGCTCTGCTGCCCCTGCCCCCCTGGGGGGACCGGGGAGAATTCCGTGAGGGTCTAATACTTCTGCAGGGACTGCTCCAAGTACCTTGATGCTGATTTGCATGGAGATAAAGCCCTCACAAGGCTGTTTTCACAGGGTTTACTTCCTTCATTTTCCAGATGCAGAAGATGAGGATGAGAGAGTTTAAACAGTTTCCCAAAGCTGGGCAGAGTGGCAGATACCTGTAATCCTGGCTTCTGGGGAGGCTGAGGCAAGACTTCCTGTTTTGGCTGGACCAGGCAACTCAGCAAGACTCCCTCTCAAAAACAAAAAGCAGTTTCCCCAAAGTTACATAATGTGAACAGAGAGCTGTTCTGTGAACAGCAGAAGTGCCCAGATCTCAGCTTTCATCTCTATGTACTGTCCTTTGAAGAAGGTCCCAATGCTCACCCCATGGACACTCCAGCTTCTGGGTCAAAGGTAGTCCAGACTGGGATATCAGCTATGTTCCTGGCCAAGCCCATCCCACACAGCCAGACTGCTGGGCCTGCTGGGTACGCAGGGGCCACAGTCTCTCCAGATGCCGGGCTCAGTGGTTCCCACAGCTGCGGGTGAGGCCCAGCAGTCAGATGAGTTCTCAGGGCCTGCCCCCTGCTTGGCCCAGATCTGTTCCCTGCACATTTTCAAGGGCTTCAGGATCCAGATGCTCACTGGTTTTGTGACCCACACTCTTTGACTGCAGACAACAAGCCCGCAGGAAGACCGGAGGCCTTGAGGTATAGGTTGGTGAAAAGATGCAGAGAGAAGCTTCTAGAGAGAGGGTCACTCTAACCATGCCCAGGATGTGTGTGATGGGGCACAGTTACCAATTTTATGACCTAAGAAGTCCCTTGCTCAAAGCCCTGTCCAGACAGGGTGACCTTCAGAACAGGTTGGGGGGGGGGTCACTGTGGAAGCAATGGAGTGGTCAGGGCAAGGGGAAAGGAAAGCAGGGCCACAGGGCACCCCCTAGAAGTAAGCCTTCTTGTCTATACTCTTCTTCTCAAATTTCTGCTTCAGCTCGGAGACCATAGAGGACCGGACAGGGCTTCCAATGGCCTGGGGCTTGGGTGACTGCTGAGGTTTCTGGGGGGTGAGGGATCCAGAGACCGTAGGCACTGTCCACTGGGCAACTGTGTCAGGTGCCATTCTTGGGGGTGGGGGGAGAGCTGGAGCCTTGGGTGGTGGTGGGTCTCCTGGACTGCTGTTGTTGTGGGTCTTCTTGGGGGGCTCCTCTGTGAGCATGAACTTGGTGGCGGTCTTGGTCCTCCTGAATTTGAGCCACTTGACGCGGATGGTGCGGGGTGCAGGGCTGGGCCGCCTCCGGAGGATGCGGCGCACAGGTAGGACCTTGTTAGACTTCTTGTTGCGCCAGAAGGTGGCTGTGGAGATGAGGACGGTGATGGCCACAACAACAGCCATGATGCCGGCCAACACACCCACAGCCTTCATGGGGTTGTCCTTTGTCTGCAGCAGGAAGGCAGCCATGGGGTCTTGGGACAGCGTCTAGAAGACAGGACATCCCTGCTTTCAACTGTTACCAGCGAATAGGATTGGGGGGTGGGGAGGATGAGCTCCTCAAGACTGATGGGTTGGTAAGGTTAAAGGGACCTCTTTGAGTGAAGAGGAAAATAGACAGAAAACTTCCCAGAGTTAAATTTCCCGCAACTAGCTACTCCGCTGAGCAGATCTGTCTTCCTGTCTTCCACTAATACCAGGTGTGTATTTCCCTTTTCTGACCAACAGTACCCTAAGCTCTAGGCTATCTTATGCACTTGCTTCCCAAAATTCTGAGCTGGCCTGCACCCTGAACCAGTGCGCTTCCCATAACTCCAAGCTTGCCTCAGGTTTGCATTTGCCTTAGTATGCAACAGGTATGATGTAGTTTTCTTTTAGGCTGATCAGTAATAATGAGCAAAGATATGACCAATAAAAAACTACCAAATACTCAGCTCCTGTACTTCTCACTTGCAAACCCTCTATGTCTTAGAGTAGCAGAGATTCGGGCCTGACATGTTGAAGGACTGCTTCCCTGTCAGGCCTGTCAATTTTAAATAAATCTGCCTCTAAATCGTGGGTCATGTTGCAGTGTTTCTGTTTGCCACTGCCTGAGAACCCAAGCACTACGGGATTCTTTATGGAATAATGACACCAAAAGCATGGATCAAGCCATTCTCTAAAACAACACACAGAGCAGAGTGTGATTATGAACCTTCTGATTCCAGACACCTGCACCCCCGGACTCTATCCCTGGGCAGTTAGACCATCGCTTCCCTTTGTCTATAAAGGGACCAATCACCACTGACTTATTAGAAACTCCTAAGTGATGACTGTGCCAGACACTAAGCTGCAAACTGCACATGCTTTTACTTCTGTCTTCCAGCACCGTGCAAAAGAAGCATCATTCTTCCCATGTTCCAGGAAAGACTGTGGAAGCTTAGCAAAGCTTCAACTCACACCTTTAATAAATACGGTGACTAGAATTTCCACATGACTCCCGGGTCTATGTGTTTAACAGCACCAATAACCTGTGACACCACTGTGTGTCCTTCGGAGGAGGTGGGAGACAGGCTTCTCCCTCTGACCACATTGCGGAGAGGCCTGGACTGGCCCTCTACCCCCTGTCCCTGGCCATGGCTTTGCACCCACCTCAGCATCTGTGATGTCAATCTTGAGTAAGGCCGTAGTGCTGAAGGACGGAGAGCCTCGGTCCTTGGCTTGCACCTCCAGGGACCATGTGCGGTCCCCCCTGGGCGTGATGTTGTGCAGGGCATCCAGGGAGAGGATGGAGTTCTTGAGCCGGATCTCCCCTGTGTGTGTATCAATGTCAAACACATTGGCTGGTTCTGCATGGGTGATGGAATAGTCTACCAGGTTGTTGGGCTCCTCTGCATCCTGGTCTGTAGCCTGTGAATGAGTAGGGACAGATATGGTTGGGCTTGGAAGAAAACTCTTATGAGCAATGGAAATGTCAATATAGGACATGGGGCTTGCTGGGGTGACAGGATGTGATCTTGACCTTAGTATAGATGGAGTTGGGAGGAGACAGAGTTCATGCTCTGGTATGCATCACCCACGGGCTAGCCTAGGCCCTGTAAGTGTGTTCTATGGCTCCATTTCCAGAACAAGTTTAGGAACTGGGTACTGGTGAACCCATATCATCAGTGTGAAAATAAAAGCTTCAGTGCTAAGCGACTTGTCCAAGGAGGGAGACAGAGGAGGGGAGCTGGATGCAAAGTCAAGGCTGTGGGTTCCAGAGCTCATGTTTTATCCACACTGGGATAATAGTAGTACATGGTAGAGGAAGCGCATTGCTTAGAGGGTGAAAAAACCAACTAGAGGAACTAAGGCAAGACACATGCTTAAGCTGTCTGTGGTTGATATTTTTCATTTGCTGTCTTCTTTATCAGAGAGGTTTCCTGGCTGGAGTGGAGATGAGGGTCTATAAAATACCTTACGATCTGTTGCTGGTGGGACAATCTAAATCCAATACATTTTATTGGAGGCTGCTCATAGTCTCAGGCACGCATGTAGTGTTTGTTCCCTGGGTCTTTTGCAGTGGCTAGGACAAGGTTTAAGGGCACCCAGCTGCCTAAAACCTACCTCAATTTTTACTGGGGTCCCCAGGACCATGGTCTTCTCCTGGATGCTCTTTCCAAACTGGGGGTAGTGGTCATTGACATCTAGCAGGGTGACAAACACTTCGGCCAGGCTGTACCTGCCTTCCATGTCCTCTGCTTTCACATAAAAGTTGTACCTTGCTGTGGCCTCAGCATCCAGGTTGGCCCAGGGCTGCGTGTAGATAAGCCCCGTGGAGGGGTGGATCAGGAACCTGCTGGGCAGAGTGTACAGGCATGGGTGGAGACAAACGCGAGCGCCAGAGACACTGCGCACATGTGCTATGCGCACCCACATGGGCTCAGGCCCACAAGGATGAGCCGCCTCCAGGAAACAGCAGGAGGACATCACACGGCTTTTTCAGATTGCCTGCCTACTGTCTCCCCATCCTTTTGGTCGAACTTTCACCCACCTATTGTTCCTGAGCTTAACAACCCCTCCTCCTGAGCAGCCCTCTCCCCTCCCCCATGGCTTGTTCCTGCTGCAGCCCATTCCTGTTGTCTGGTCCCTGAAGCCACTGCTCCTAGCTCCACACCAGGACCAGGACTTTCTTCTCTTCCAGTCACCTCACAAAGTTTTCCCATCTCTGTGCCTCAGTGTCGCCTTTGCTTCCCTTCGCTCTTTACCTCCTTCCCATTCTGCACCTTGGTTGCCTTCCCAGCCCCGATGCTGTCCCTTTCAGATTCCCCTGCCTTCAGTTGAGACCCTGTCCTCCCACAGTCTCCCAAGTCCATTACCTCCTTTCAGTCTGGGTTCTGGGTATACTCACAGGTCTGCCCCAGTCCCATAGATGGAGTATTTGACTTCTCCCCAGGGTCCGGTGTCTGGATCCACAGCCTGGAAGAAAGAAAACTCTTAGTGGTACCTGTCCTGTGGCCAGGTCACCCTGGTAACTCCTGTAGCTCAATGGGAAGCAAGGGGAACTGAGGCCACACCCAGGGGGCAGGAACGCTTTTCTCCAAGGGAGCCTCTAGCCTGAGCAAAGCCCAAGGGTTTACAAGACCTGGAAAGCATTTGTCTCTCCTCTATAAATGAGAAGCCAAAGGAGTGAGTCCTGTGCCCTGGGCCAGGTCTAGCCCCACATCTCCACTGCAAGCCAGTGCGCTGAAGAAACAGGAGCCAGGAGAGGGCAAGCTGCTCCTGCGAGGTCACAGCTGAAGCCTGGGCTGTGTGAGCTAAATGGAACCCAGGTGTGTCTTGCTCCACAGGCCCCTTCCCCACAGGGCCTCGGCCAGTCCCAAACCTACTGTTACAGCCACCACATTGGAGCCCCCGGGGGCGTTTTCAGGGATCCTGGCAACATAGTAGTGAGAGGTGAACTTGGGGACATTGTCATTGGTGTCCAGGAGCTGGATCACAATATCTGCTGTGGAACTGAACTTCTCCGGGGTGTTCACTTCAATGGCCAGGAGCTGGGGAAGGGAGGAAAACACAGACTGTCTGCGCCTGCTGGGATCCCTCCCATGCCTGCCTCCCTAGAACTGGACCAGCACTCCCACCTCTCAGCACTTCCTGCCTCTCTGCAGGGCCCGCACCCTTCCTCTCTCCCCTGTGGCGTCCACTGTCAGCTTTCCCTTTGTTCCCCACTGTCTTGGGCCTGGATTTTCTTCTACTGATCTGGATATTCTTTTATTTCTTTAGATAAAAACCAGGATAATTGTATTAAGGTTCTCACCACTTTTTCAGAGAAAATTCTAGGTAAGAGTTAACTGGTATTGCATTTTGAATTATTTTATTAATTTACAGAAAATTTACGCTTAAAAAAAGTAACAGCCCATTGCATGCTCCATGCTTTGCCTCCTCTTTCCCTTTGGGAAATTCTGCCTCGATTTGATCATTTAGGGGATGCGTGTTTCTTGTTATGGTAGTTCCTAAGAGTTTTGTCTATTGGTGGTTGTCACAAATTATGATTTATTTTATTTTATTGTGACCTGGGGGTTGAATCTAGGGCCTCCACAGTGAGTTACATCCTCAGTCTTTTTTGTTTAGTTTTGATGTGGGCTGTTACTAAGTTACTAGGCTGCCCGGGCTGAGCTCAGACTTGTGATCTTCCAGCCTCAGGCTTCTAGAGTGCTAGGATTACAGGTGTACGTTGCCCTGACTCCTGTGCAGCTTGAAAGCATTGCCCTGTTTCCCTCAGTGTGTCTCTCTTAGCTCAGCAATGACAGGGGTGGTTCCCACAGACTTCCAACCCCTGCACCCTGAGAGAGCTTTGGTTTAGAAGCCAGAGCTCAGTAAGGCCGGGGTGAGAGCAGTTGGCAAAAGCCTGTCAGTGGGCCGCTCTTGTCCCTCACCTTGGCCTCCCACCTGCTCCCCAGGCCGGCAGGATTTGCAGCAGCTCAGAGAGCAGAAGGGTAGGTCTGGAACCGGTGGTGGGTCTCCTGAAGAGGTGTGATGTTGCAGTGAACGCCTTTCCCACTGCCCCTCTCAGGACAGGGCTCCACTCACCTTGAAGGTCAATACCTTGGACTTCTCAAAGTCAATGGCAGCTGAGTTCTCCACAATGATGGTGACCTGGGCCTCATTAAGGACTGTTTGTGGAACCACGCGGAAGATGCCTCCAGGTCCCACCAGCCGCAAGTTGAATTTGGCATTGGCTCCCTGGGTGTTGGCGTTTGGAAAGAGCAAACAGGGAAGATAGGTAGAACAGAAACATTGCGTGAAGCATGATCAAAATACATGGTAAGTGTTTAAATTTACTATAGTGAAAGTTAGAGCCCCACAGAGCATTCTCTCTTGCATCCACCACACTTGCCCATCATTCTTGTCCTCCTTCATGAGTGTCTTTACAAGGGATGGTCAACACCATGGTGAATGGTGCTGCTGCGTGCTGTCCAGTAGGAAGGCAGGCTCATAAAAACATTACAACATGTCCTCATCCCTTGGATCTGACACTGTGCAACTACTCACTCTTCCCCAAAGTCCAAAGACCACAAAAGGCAAAAGTTCTCAATGAGTTTAGGACACTGAAGCAGCTCTGACAGTGACAGTGTAACTAGACAGGAAGGAGGACTTCCAGAACTGCTCCAGAAAGTGGCAAAAATGATAGGATAAGTGCGTTCAATGTGAAGGTTTTGGGGGGGTTAATGGCAATGTGTGTTACTATAATAATGTCTCTCTCTCTCTCTCTCTCTCTCTCTCTCTCTCTCTCTCTCTCTCTTTTTTTTTTTTTTTTTTTTTTTTTTGGTGGAACCGGGGATTGAACTCAGGCCCTAGCACTTGACAGGGAAGCACTTATTCTACTGAGCCATCTCCCCGGCTCCATTAATGTCTCTTAATGTAATAAATGTTTTGGATTTAAGCATTCACTGTATTTTTTATTGTACCTTATATATTCATATTAAAAGAGAAGCCTTCATGTGCCCTTAACTCTGAATGGTAAGTAACCCTAAAAGTAGTTGATGAAGGATCAGAGACATTTAGCAGGCTTTGAGGATTAAGCAAGGTAAAGACACACAAGCCTGGTCTTGTCTGGCTCTGGAGGTGGCAGGGCACATCACAAGCGAACAGGTGGAGGGTCAGGTGCAGAGTTTTCACTTTTTAACTGTGATCACTTTTTGGCTAAGCAAACCCCCTTTGATTAGACAGCACCCCTCTGCTTAGCCAACACCCCTCTACTCCCTTGGCAATTTTGTGACATGTCTGTCCCCACCAGAGGAGCTGAGAGGGATAACTCAGACCCCTACTGGTTCTGAGGGAAGGATGCACACCTGGTCAGAGTCATTGACAGTGATCTTGAGGCCCCGAAGGATCTCACCCTGGGGTGGGTGCTCATACATGGACAGCTCGAACCTGTTCTGGGGTCCACTCTCCCCGTAGAATGTTGGCGGGTGGTTGTTGAGGTCCACGATTCTGATGGTGACAGGGACCATGGCCTGGGCAGCTGGGCTCCCTGCGGAGCTGACCTCTGTCACCTGGGTTTGGGACAACAGCAATGGTTGTGTGGCAGGCGGGCTGTTGCTGGCCCCCAGTTCCTGGCTCCTGGTGTCACAGCCTTGTGCCATCCCTCTCCCTGAGTGCAGCCCTACACTGTGTCTTGCTCCTGACCACATCTGCCAAAGACCCTGAACCCCACTTCAAGGTGAGACTACAAAAGACTGTGATTTCTGTCTCACTGGCACAGTCACTCTTGCTGGTTTCGATGAAGCAGAAACTAACAGCAGCACCCCCTCTTCAATGGCTGTCATGGGCCTGAGTCAGGCTAGCAGGCATGGGAGCTGTAAGCCAGTCTGTCCCTGGTCCTTGTCCAGCCTCCATATGAGACTCAGCTCTGGCTGACAATCATCTGGCAGCCACAGGGGAGATCCTGACACCAGGGACCTAGGCAAGGTGAACATGCATCCCAGGTCAGGCACATAGAAATGAACGTGAGTTGTCTGAAGCCACTAAGCTTGAATCAACATGTGGCAAAGCCTTAGATAACTAATTCAGATGCAAAGCCAGTGTTGGGATTCATAGGCACCTCGAGTCATGTGGTGAACATCCCATGAGCATCCTCTCCCAGGGCCCTTTCTCTGCTTCCAGAGCACGCTCGTCTTGAAGCCTGCTCTGCTGACAGGCCCCTCCACACACCTGGCTGCTGTCTTGGTGCCCCCCTTCTCACCAACTTCACATCGACTCCCACACTGTGCCCAGACCTTGCACCTCTGTGTCTCTCAAGGGCTTGATTCCCCTGGCTGAGGTCATCCAGTTCTTCCTGGCTTCTTGGGCCCCTCCCGGGTCTCTGATACCCACTCCTCTCACAGTGTGTGGTGCCCCTGCCCTGTGCAGCCGGCTGACTGCACCTCTCCTCCCAGCCAAGCTCAGGATAACCTCCTTCCATCTTCCTGTGTGTTTCACAGTGTGCGTGTCACTTCCTCCCAGTCCCTCACACTGTGCCCACAGGTGGATGCTTCGCCTAGCATGTCCCCCAGCACCCACACTCATCGATCCCCTCTGACTAAGCCCATATCCTTTCCCACATTCCAAGTGGCATGGTATCTGCTGCTATCTAGCTCCACTCTCTCGCCTTACAGCCTGTCAACTGCCCGGCTCTTGGCAATCCACCTTCCTCCAGTTTTGCAATTTTCCTTTCTGTGACTCTCTTCCCTCATCCCACATCCTCTCCTCCTCTGCCTCCTTGTGTGAGTGCTCTGCCTCCCATCCATGGACCCCCAAATCAAGTGGAGACCAGAGTTCTCCAATGCTAGGCTGGGGTCAGTGCCTGGATCTCTGAGTCACTCAATCACCTAGAGCTCTAGGGTTATCAAGAAACACTTCCTTCCCACCCCAGGGACTCAATGGTGCCTTGAAATCTCTGCCAGGCGCACCCTTCCCATGTTTGGGGATTGACTGCCCCAAGCTGCCAGATGAGCTTCCTTCCATGAAATCCAGCTGCTCAGATTCCAGTGGCTCTTCCTTCCATGCTCTTGGGTAGAATTTCAAAGTTACAAACAGCAGAGTTGGGTATATGACCCTCCTAGTCATTATGGTCTCTGCGCCACTGCAGAGGTCACATGCCCTGCTCCAGGGAAAACCCCGTACTAGCTGTGGGGCATCCGCATCTACTACCAGGACCCCCACCCTCCTCTTACTGCTGCCTACCATGGGCTCCAGTCCCTACCCCACCATGGGCTGTCCCCCTGGATGGGTGGCTGGCACTTGTGTGGCTTGAAATGCCTTCCCTCCAGCCCACCACTTCCTGCCCAGCCTGTTGCATCCTCGCTGGGGCATTGCTTCCCGGCCTCATCCATTCCCACTTTCTCATGATTCCTGTGTGAGTTCCTGTCTCATTAGAGGGTGTCTTTGACTCTGCTACAGCCGGATGGAGGAAGAGTTCCTGGGAGAACATCTGTCTACCTCTCAGACAGAGCCCCAGGGAGAGAGGGCCTGGATCTCATCACCTTTGTAGCCTTCCAGGGCTGGAGACTGCTGGGCAGTCCCCGCTAGAGGGAGTTACCTGTACATGCAGCTCATAAGCCTCCCTGTGCAGCTGGGCTGGGCTCTGCAAAACCAGTATGGCTCCGGATGTCTCATTGATTTCAAAAGCGCCACCGCTCCCTGTGAGAGAAATGTGCACTGCAGTTCAGCACAAGGCCACAGGGGGAGCAAGGGAGTCAAGTTGCAAGCTCCTTAAATGGAAGTCCCCTCATACAAAGTAATGTCACCACCTGTGTGATGCTAATGGGGAAACTGAGTCTCAGGGGGGCTAACTTGTGTAAGGTTGCACACCAGGGTAGGAACTTGAGTTCATTTCTGTTTGGCTCACAGGTTCAATTCTGTGTGACTTCTTTCATGTATGGTGCCGTGTGTGTGTGTGTGTGTGTGTGTGTGTGTGTGTGTGTGTCTGTGTGTGTATTTCAGTGCATTTAATACACTCGATCTAGACTTTTAAAAAATAGAAGACAGCAATTCCAAGAACACAAGATATGCTGCTATCCTCTGCCATCCAAGACACATTGCCCAGGTGAAGGGAACATAAATCAAAGCAGCCCAGGTCACTGCAGGTTCCAGAGCTGTTCTTCCTGCTGCTGGGCCCAATCAAAAGCAGGCACAAGGTACACCAGTCACTGCAAAGGGGTTCAGCCCTCCTCCCCACAAGATCTGGTCCTCCTGGTCCTATAGGCCAAAAGGTTTGGGGACCACACTCTGGTCACCAGAGTCAGAGCCGAAGCCCCAGAGCAATCCAGACTCACCATTCATGAGGCTGTAGACAATGCGGTTGGGTCTTCCCTGGTCTCCATCCATGGCAACTACCGTCAATACCTCTGAACCCTGGGGAGAGGGTTATGTTCCAGGGGCTGATGGGATGCTGGGGCCACCTCTGCCTGGATACAGCCCATCCCAGAGAGGGAGCTGCCCCACCTGGCCAAAGCCTCTGGGTGGACCCAGCGTGTAGGCCAGTTCTTCTGGCAGCTTGAAGCTACAGGGCTGGGGGCGGGGGAGATAGTGGGGCTAGCATGTCTATGGGGACAGAGCATAAGTGCCCAGAGAGCCACAGGACTCCTGCTTCTTGTATGACATGCCACACTAGCCTTCTGTTCCCTCTACCTTTACTTTTCTCCACTCCAGAGGGGTGCAGAAATGAGGGTGTGATTGGACCTCAGGGCCTCAAACACAGGGTCTCAGAATAAGGCTTTCATTCTGTGATGCCTGAGTGTTGTTTGAAAGGTTTCTTGGGAAGTACACAAGTCTAGTTCAAGATCTCTGTCTGTGCCCAGTGATGCTTCTCATGTCAGGCTGTGCATCCCCCCCCACGCCCCTCACCATCCTCTTCTCAAAGCCATGGAGCCTGCTTCTCACCTGAGCCAGGTTGTCCAGACCCAGCTCCATGCATGGAGGACAGACCCTGGCTGAAGGGGAAGTCACTCACCGGAACAGTGTCTTCGTATACGTAGCCATAGTAGGGGGTGCCCACAAAGACAGGCGGGGTGTCCTGAACATCCTCCACATGGACTGTGACTGTGGTGGTGGCAGAGAACACCACGGGGGCCCCTCGCAGCCTGCCTCCACCGTCCTGAGAAGGAATGGGGCAAGAGGAGGAGGGTGAAGGCTGGCAGGGCTCAGGAGTGTAGGATCTCCATGTGTGAATCAAGAAGCAGCTGGCTGCTCTGCATTTTGTCTGTTTCTGTGGCCCTAGAGTTAGTTCTGCACTTACAGGGCTTTAGGACATAAATGAGGCAAGTGAGCAGAGTTTCAGCCAGTGCCTGGCATGCAGTGGGTGGCTTTGTATACAGAGACTAAGAAGGCAGAGGAGGAGGCTTCAAAATGCAGTTAGTTTTGCAAAATAAACTGCTAGGCCCAGAGCTAAGCACCTGCAGATTCCCAGCTCCCCACCATGAGCTTCAGAAATGCAAGGGACATTATTGCACGTATGGGGTGGGCAGATGAGGAAACCAAGCCTCAGAAAGGGCAACTGGTCACCTGTAGAGGAGGAATGAGGTGGGCCAGCTAGACTTAACAGGTACAGGTGCCCAAAGGCCAGCCTGTGGAGAGGAGCAGGAGTCTCCACACAAGGGCCACCTGGGCCTGCCTAAGCAGCCCTGGCCATGAGTCTCAAAGGCGCACACACTCTGTCCCCATAGGGACAGTGGCCCCTCCAGAGCACGGAGCCCAGCCTGCTGAAAGATGGGCATCCCACAGCTGCCTGTCTCACCACTTGATTCCCACCCTGCCTGCTGATCCCCTAACTGTGCCCAGCCAACTTAAATGTGTTCCAGTCCAAGGAGGAGAGACTGGCACCCCTGTCCTTCCTCTGTTACCTTGGCAACCACAGTGATGAAGTGGGTCTGGATCTTCTCATAGTCCAGAGTGGCTCCAGCCTGGAGGCGCAGCACACCACTGTGGCGGTCCACAGCAAATTTGGTGGGGTGGAGGCTCTGGAAGAGTTGGGGAGCCACCGGAGCTCAGGGAGGAACCCAGGATACCAGGAGACACTGACCCTGCTTACTGAATGGGTCCTCACAAGTCAGCCCTGAGGTTCCCACTAGCAGGCATCAGCCCTTCTGATCTCAGGCCTCCTGCTCAGCTGGGGGGCCCCACTCTTAGCCAACACCAGCATGGGCCCTCCCAGTTTCCTTGGCCTTTCCTCTGCTCATCTGGATGCAACTACGCTCTGGCCCAGAAGTTCTAGCAGGTGGGAGGGCTGCGGTGTGCAGCTGTCATCCAGAGGGAACCGAGGCTCAGGACTCATGGGATGGGGTGATGGGGGACCTTCTAACCACACCAAGTGAGCAGGTAGCACCCACTGGGGAGTGGCAGGAGTCCCTGAAGCGGTGGCATAACCCAGGGACCTTCCAGCTGCCACTGGAACTTTTAAGTATACCTAATCCTCATGGCAATCCAGTGAGGGGTTCTTTTATCTTCTCTATGTGAAAAGGCCCTGATCTCTGGGGGTGAAAAACATGTAGCTGCCCCTCCAGTCCTATGTGTGGTCGAACTGAACGTGTGCCTTACCTGCAGGAAGTAGGTGACGCTGCCTCCAGAGCCCGTATCCCTGTCCACAGCATGGACCTTAAAGAGGCTACTTCCGGTAGGCGTGTCCTGAGAGTTCACAGCCACAGAGAAGGGTTGGGGCAATGACATGGGGCTCAAGGAGCAGAGGCCCAGGGGCCAAGGCACAGTGGGGTCAGGGGCACATGACAGTGGCATGTGACTATGACATGTGGCTGTGGCGCGTGATGGTGGTGTGTGACTGCAGACGTGGGACCCAGGAAGTGAAAGGTTGGGGGGTGAGAAGGTGACGGTGACTGTGTGAGCAGCTGGTGGGAGGAATGGTGACAGACATACTGGAGCAGAGGTAGGGAAGAAGGGAAAAGGAGGAGCAGAGGTGTGTGGAGGGACTGGGGCTCCCTCAAGGGGACAGGGGAAGAAAACCAAGACCCTGAATAGAACAAGGATTTACACATGATGTGGCAATTCCACTTGAAGACATGGCTCATAAACACAGTCACAGTTAGGGCCCCCAGGGACCATACTCATTACAGAGCAAGAGGGAAATCCCTTCCTCCCACTGAATCAGCAAACACTAAACTTTGAGAATTCCTGGCCTTGGCAACAGACAAGGACACAAGTGCTCCCCTTTTGCAGGACAGCATGCACAGTGACTGTGATGGCAAGTAGTGAAGGGGCTGCCTTTGGAGTAGAAGTGAAGGAGGGGAGCACAGTGACAGTGGGGGGGGGGGACACAGAGGCGAGGACCAGCTCACAGGCACGCCCCAGGGAAGCCATGAGCCCTCGCTCACCTCGGGCACCAAGACGACATAAGGCTCCTGGGTGAACCTGGGTGCCTCGTCATTGGCATCGGTCACCAGGATTGTGACCTTTTCTGCCACCTGAAAAGGGGTAAAGTGGTCAAGAGTCAGGACAATGACATCTTCCAGGGGGATGAAAGAATGGCCTCTAACTGCCAACATATAGCCCCTACCCACACTTTCCCTCCTGCCCCCGTCCTCTTCCTTCTTTCCATCACTCATTCAGGAAATATTATCAAGCAGCCCCTTGGTGCCATGCACCATACTCCCTTCTGATGGTGCATTACTTTTGCAGTAGCATGGTGACTTCTATGGTTTGAGGGCACCAAGCACCCTGGTCCCAGGGTAAATGCCTCTTGCTGGGTCATGGGTGCAGTATCCAAAAGCCCTGAAAGAGGCATCAAGCCTGGGCAGTGGTGGCCTGGGCAGAGATGGCATATAGCAGGGAGACTTCCTGGGACAGAGACTGAGTTTGCTGGAGGGAGGAGGTAGAAGGGTGCTTGAGAAGAAGGGGCTCCACATACATACAGGGGCAAAGAAGCCTGAGATGGGCAGCAAGGAAGGGCAGGCTCTAGCAAGGTGGCTGGCAGGGCAGATGGGGGAGAAGGCTGTTGGAGGCAGATGGTGCCCGACAGGTGGGACCTGGGGTGCTCAGAGAAGCTTGGATTTCATCCCGAGGGTGCTGGGCCCAGCTGCTGCCATTTTCAGAGCTGAGGAGGGGCCAGATGGGTTTGCCTTTCTGAGGGGTACTGGGGGTGGGATGGCTGGGGAGCTGCAGTTCTCCAGAAAGTGGGGATGAGGGTTGTGGGGCAGGCAGTGAGAAAAGCCTGGAGGCCAGGGGTTTGTCTTAGAAGACAGGTGGGGGAGGAGGTCGGAGGGGAGGAGGTCCTGGCATCGTGGGCTGGGCCTGGCCAAGCTCCGCTGAGAGAGAGCTCTGTCTCTCTCCAGGTTTCCTCCTCCTCTGGCCTCGCTGTAGCCCACTCTAGGCACCTCAGGCATGTCTTGCTGGCTGGTTTCCTAGGGAGCCCACAAGAGGGCTGGTAGGAAGTCTGGTGCTCTCTCTGTGCTGCCAGGTGACCCGGTACCCACTCACCAGGTTCAGGCCATCGGAAATGCTGATGATGGCTTCGATCTCATCCTCCCTCTGTGAAGTATAGGGACCGAGTGTCGGGACTGTGACTCACCATGCGACTCCAGGCAGGACTGAAATTCACCCTGCACCCTCAGAGGAGGCCTGGACCAGGTCCCAAGGGAGCCCTGGAACAGGGTAGGTGGTGGCCACAGTGCCCCGGCATGACTGACAGCTGCCTCTTACAGCTGGAGACCTCATTGTCAGGTTTCCCAGGACTCAGAGGGACTGCAGCAGCTCCAACAGCAAATACTTGCTGCTCACACAAGGGGAGAAGGACCCCGGCACTGTAGAGAGAGGTTTCTTTTCTCTTCACATCATTTTCCTCCCTTATCTTGCTACAACTCTCCACACTGGAGTTCTGCAGAAAACTGGGTTTTGGGTGCTTCAAGTGACCATGAACTCTTAGGGTGTGTGCGCATGTGTATGTGTATGTGTGTGCACATGTGGTGCTAGCAGCCCCAGTCCCACCCCTGTGACCCACAGCCCCAGACATGTGAGTCTGAGACCTCCCTTTCCTTTCTCTGTCCTCTCCAGATTTTGTCATTGAACCAGAGCTGGCAGAAGTGCTAAAATGAGGTCTCCAATTGGAAAGAAAGTGCAAGAAACCCACACCCTGTCACCCCAGGCTTGGAGGCCTGCAGCGGGAGCAGCTGTTCCAAACCCAGCCCCGCTCCCTCAGCCCTCTTTGCAGCCCTGTCTGCTACCTGAGTTCCCTGTAGTTCTCATACTTCCTCCAGTGTAGGCTTAAAAGCCACATTTGGAGGCGGTGTTTAGAAGTCTCTAAGTGCATACAGACTTCTAATCGTGAGTGCTTAAAGGATTAGCAGGGCTGACAGGTGCCCAAGAAGCCTGCTCTGTAATGGGGAGCAGCCCTGCTGGGCTGAGGGCCTCCTCTGTCCCCTACTCTGCAGGGAGGGTCAGCACACACCAGCCAGCATGCTTTAAGAAGACCTCTGCCCAAGACGTCCCCTGCACACCCCGTACCTCTCTATCCAGTTCTTCAACCAAGGTGATGTTTCCCAAATTCAGGTCAACAGAAAAGATGCTTCTAGTGCTGGGGTCAAAGCTGATGTGGTAGGAGACTGGGTCTCCGTCAGGGTCTGTCCCATTAAGGGTGTACACATGAGAGCCTGAAGGGAGACACAGCAGGGAGGACCTATAACCAGGCACACCACTTTCCCTAAGAGTAGCATCAGCACAGATTCAAGGACCTGGTTGTTTATGAAGTGAATATTCATTTCACTGCCCAAGAAGCTACCTTAGACCAGGAGCTCCCTGCAGGTGCTGCCCCACTTGTTATCCCTATTCTGCACCCTGCCCAGTGTTATCAGCAGCTCTGTTGATGATAATCTGCACTGCAGATTATGGAGGGGTTCAGGTCACTGGGCCTAACCGGAGCTCTGTATTTCCCAGGGCCTGGAAGGACTCCTCTCCCAGGAGCCAGGCTGCAGGAGTGGACAGAGGGGAGAAAGATGGGCCCTTAAGGCAAAGTGGTGACTGGGGTGCCGTACACCACAGCCCCACTGGCCTCTTACCCCCTCTATTCCCAAGTCTCAAGCCTGACAAGACGAAGGGGGAATCCAAACCCTTCTCTTTCTCCTCTCCTCCCCTCAGTAGCAAAGGCCAGCTGGAAGTTCTTGGGTGCTTTTAAAACCCAGGAGGCTCGAGGAGATAAATACATTTGCTGGGGGGCACAGTTCCCCCAAAGGCAGGGCCTTTCCCATGTGCTGCCCACCACTGCCTGGCCCCGGGGCCACTCCTCTTTGCGTCCCGGCCATGGCCCACAGGTCCAGACCGGCTTAGTCGCCAAGGCAGCAGTGACCTCCTTTCCTTCCAGGGCCCTGGGGGAATCTCCGCACAAACAGAGCACCCCGGGGAGCACACAGCCCGATGCTCTGCAGCGTCGCCCAGGGGTCGGAAGAGTCACGGGTTGAGTTTCTGCAGAGGCAAGCGCCTCCTGGGGAGACTTGCTGGGAGGCTCTACTCCCTTACCGACTGGGGTGTCCTCCGGTAGGCTGAACAGGGCCATGTTTCCGTTGGTGCTGCCCGCTCCATTGTCGAAGAAGTGGGGTGCAAAGTTGGCCTGGACTAGGAAGAGAACAGAAACAAACGGCACAGACAGAGCCGGACGCGGGAGGGTGGTTCACACTACGACCACGGGGCTTGCTCTCCTCAGCCCCAGCGAGCCTTGGTCCCCACCATCCACCTTTTGGAGCTCGTGCTAGGCGGAATTGTCACGGACGCACAAAACCTAGGGCTCCTGGAAACGAGGCCTTCCCGCTCCCACCCCATCAGAGGGTAGGCTGAAGGGGCGGTTATCGGAGAGGGGCAGCGGCCGGCCAAGGTCGCCTGCGAGGCAGGGAGTCCGGCCCTGTCCCGGCGTCCCAAGACGCGGGCAGCAAAGGTCTCAGCCCCAGTCCTCTGGGGAGGCACCCACCGGTCCCACTCTGGGAGCGCACCGCCCCGACTGCGTCTCGCCTCCTTTCTGCACCGGCCACTCACCCAGGCAGAAGCGCAGCAGCTCCAGGACCGCGGCGGCCCGCGGGGCGCGCCCCATGTCTCAGCGGACGGGCGCAGCTCCGGAGCGGAGCATTCATCCCCTGCCTGCGCACCTAGCGGACCTGGGAGGCGAGCGGGTGACAGGCGGAGGACAGCGCTGGCTGCACCCAAGTCTCCGCAGACCCGCCCCCCACCCAGGCTGGGCGTGGCCAGGCTCGCCTGGCTCGCCACGCCCCCACTTGTCACGCCCCCTTCTGGGAGCGGGGAGGCGTGGGCCAAAGGGGGTGCCCAGCGGATACGCTGCAGTGTAAGTTGAAGGATGCCCAAGCAGGTTGCTAGAAGAACGAAATTCCCGAGGTCCTCCTCAAGTCCCACGTGAGAACAATTTGGGCTCTCCTGGAGTTTTTCATGAACTTCCTCTGTAGTTCAGGAATTTGACTCCCTTCTCTGAGTGGCGCGTTTGTGAAGTTGAAAAATTGCACAGGGAAAGTCTTGGGCCAAGAAATAGGGTTGGGGCCCTGTCGCGGGAGGGGGCGTGAACGGCTCTGCGTTGGCAATCACACAGGTTCCAGGAACCCCCGCAGGGTTCGCAGGGCAGATCACCAAGATCAGGGACACCAGCAGTCAGGAGTTCAGGCCCCAGGCCCCTCCTTGGGGTCTCAGCCCATGCCAGCCCTAGGCCAGGCCAGCAGCCCCAAAGTATCAGCCCTGTGTGGGGGGAAGCCCTTCTCCAGGCTGGTCTGCTGATCATAGGAGGTGAGCGTGGTGCAGAGCCGCTCTCCAAGTCCTTGGAAGGAAGAGGGGGCAGTGAAGGCAGGGTTCTCCTTCCTCTTGGCCAGGCCAAGCCTTGATCCTAGAAGGTGACCGGCTGGCTCGCTGGCTGGCTGTGGGACTGGGAGAAGCCTTGGGACCCTGGAGCCTCACTCTGCTGCTCCCCACTGAGCTGACTGAGCTGTGCCGGAAATGGAGCCCGCACCCCTTCTCTGAGCTGGACTGTTCACGGAGGGGTTACTGGGCTGCCCCTTAGCCAAGGTACCTCCCAGGATGCGCTGGGAGGATGTGGTTCTCAATGGAGGTGCCCAGCCTTCCTGCCCGGGGGCTCGGGAGAGAGCAGGGCATCAGGTCTCAGCCTGGGCCCCCTGGCGGGGACCGGGTATCTTGAGAGGAGGGAGGATTGTGCTTTACAGTGGAAAACCTTAAAGTCGGAGTAGGTGAAGCCCCTTGCCTCTGCTCACCGCCATGGAGGGGCAGAGGTTGCATTCCCAGCCAGTTTGGGCTGGATTCTCAGTTGAAACACTTTCAGGGCTGAGAGGTGACCTTGAAGCTACTGAAGCTTGGTCCTCTGGGCCCTAACACATACAACCCTTCCTCAGCCCTAATATTGCACTTGTGCTTTGCATTCTTTTCCCTCAGAAGACGACCCCTCCCACTCCCCAAACACAGTGAATATGAGACTTAGGACTGAGGTTCTCTGAAATGCAGGACTTAACGCTGAAATCAGGGAAGTCTGCAGTGTCCCGGGGCGGGATGGTCACCCTAGATCTGGCCCCCTCCTCAGAGCACCTGAACATCCTGGGAAACAGCAGCTCTTCACTGTCAGCCTGACGGTGACCTTGGAGTATTTAGCAACTACCTGGACACCATAACTTGTCTTAGGTGGAGGGACTCACCTGCCAGGGGACATGCAGTTTGGGCTTCAGCCTCAGACCCTGGGCAGCCTCAGGCCCCCATCAGCCCTTAATGCTGACTGGCAAGCTCCCTCTCTCCTGAGCCTTGCACCTGGCACCTGTGATACAGGCCCCCATCAGGTCATCTTGGGTCAGGTTCTGGCAGCTCTTCTCCAGGGACTTGTGGCAGCTGGTCCAGATACTGCTAAGTGGAAACCCAAGTGTTGGTGTTCTGCTTGGGCACACACATTTTGGCTCAGTCTGCTAACAGGTCAGCTGGGCCCATGCACAGTTCCACACCTTTACCTTTTCCTGGCCTGTCCAAGTGAGCTAACCCACAGGTCCTTGTGCACATGTATACATGCACGTTCGCACCCCTGTCCACACGTACACCCATACATGTTCACACTGCTATCCACTGACATACATGAAGAGTTCCAGTCCCATTTGCAGACCCCTCTGTGTGTGTGCACACACATACATCATCTCCATGTGACTTGCTCACATCTGCTGTGCATACATGCACACCCATCCAGGGAGAGGCAAGGTGCTCTTCTGGCTTCCTTGGATCACAAGAGATGGTAACAGGCTGCCAAGCTCACCCCCACCCCCACACTGGGGAGGGGACAAGGCAGTGTGCAGGCAGCAGATTCTTGTGCCCTGATTCCACCCCAGAGTCCTAGGGTGGCCAGGATGTCCCACAGGTTCCATCTCCCTGGCATGATGAGGTCCCCGCGGCTCTGTTTAGCTGCTGAGTCTCAGCAGAATGACAGCTTGTGGTTTGGAATGGGGTTTGGTACTCAGGATGCTGGTACAACTGGGAGATCTGGGCAGACCTGCAGTGTCAGCCAAGTATGGACACGGTGTCTTTGGACACTGTGCTGTCTGTCACATGCTACTGTCTCAGCTCAGCAGAGGGACAGGTTGGGCCAGGTGGACCCACCTGGATGGAGTTGGGAGTCCCTGCACTGCTCTGGAGTTTGTAGCTCAGCTGTCAGCCTGAGTGCCAGAAGAGGGTCCCTGGATAGCATCCACTCTGAACAGGGCGTCCCTTGTCCCCCCAGGGTGCCCAGGCCCAGTAGAGGGTGGCTGCTTCAGTTTCCTGTAGCAGGAGGAGGAAAACCCTTCTTTACCAGTCTGAGGTGCTGCCTTCCCCTTTACTCAAGAGTCTCTGCCACTGTCCCTTGGTTCCATTAAACTGGATTGTGGCCCAATAAACACTTTGCCCACACTCTGACTTCTGGATTATAATGCCGCCACTTTCAGGGTGGCACCACCCTCACCCTGGGGAGCAGAATCTCCAGCCCTGGCTGGCCTGTTTCCATCCTGTAGTTTTCTCCTTTGATGTCTCAGTTCATTGCATGGCTGAGCCTGGGCGTGGAACACACCAAAGAAGGTCTGCATCTCCAGAAGTTTCCTCTCCTCTACCCGGCCTCTGCCCCAAGCAGAACTGGCCCTAGTGGAGCAATGACAGGGCACTTAAGCGACTCCAATGCTGAAGTCTGCCTGCCTGATGTCTCCTCCAGGCAGCATTAAGCCATTCCTGGAGGGGCTGGGTTTTATTCATGGATTGCTTTATTATAGGTGCGGAGCTGGTCCTTGTGTTAGCCAACTGTTCCTTATTGTCATATATGCCTTGGATAATCAACTTATAAAAATAAAATATTTATTTCCTCAATAGCCTAGTGGGCTAGAGATCCTTAGGTGAGACTTTTCCAGACCATAACAGTTCTCAGTGAATGGTTATAACTGGCCAGATGAATGAGTGAGTGTTACGGCTTATGTCTAGATGTCCCACCAAAGCCTCATGCCGTCACAGGTGGGACCTCTCAGAGGTGTCTGGATCTAGGGTGTCTGATGCTGGGATGGAGGATGTGGTGCTCTAACATGAAGGTTGTCCCACCCTGGGTGTGAGTGCTACCGGGTGGGTAGCCTGCAGAGAATGTAAGGGACAGAGGGAGTGGTCACTAGTCACTTGTGGCTTGCTGCTTGCTGTCTTCTGCCTGCCATCGACTGTCTGCCATTGTCCCTCTGTGATGCCCATCTGTCATGGAGCCAGCCCCTATGGACTGAAACCTCTATAAACTGAGCCAATTAAGCCTTTCTTCCTTTAATTCAGTGTGTTGGGTATTTTTTTTTTTTTTCTCAGCAATGAGAAGAAGTAACTAAGTCAGGGAGTAACTGAATGAAGGAAGGACATCTTAGAATGTCAGGAGTCTTGGTTCCTGGTTCTAATCAACTGCCAAGCCTCTGCCTGCCTTCGACACTCTACCTGACCTTCCTTAAATAAACAGAGTGCATATCCAGAGGTGTAAACTTCTGAGGGAGGGTGGGGATGGAAATGTGTAGAACAGTGGGGTGACAGGCCATAGGGATGGAGTGGAGGCTATGGCATACGAACAAATGCTCATATCCACAGAATTTTCAAGACATTGAGCTGGACCCACAAAAATGTTGTTTGATGTGGAAAGGACTTCTCAGCATGGCCACCTAGCAACTGGGTATCTCTTGTCTTTCTGGTTAACACTTGGCCAGTCCTGGGAGGCAATGTGCTTTGCCTGAGGCTAAGGGGCACCTGTAGACCACAGACCTCTCCTGGGGGTGGCACTGTTGATGGAGAGTCTGTTAGCTGCTCCTAAACTGTCTATATGTTTTGAGGCTGCTTATACATGGGCCAGGCCCAGCCTCCTTCAGGAGGCCAGACTAGAGCAGAGGATGCACCCAAGTCCCCAAGCTGCTGGGACCGTGAGTGAAGCTACCAGCCCACTCTGCCCTCTGTGGGCTCCCCAGGAGGTTTGCCCACAGAGAAGCTGGGGGTTGTGACATGCAGTCTGAGCCTCGGTTTACAGCTGGGAGCACCTGACATCCCTAGTGTCACACAGTGGCCATCGTTTGATCCCCTGGTCTGTCTTGGAAGCTCATGTCTGGTCAGCTACACCAGGTAGCCCCAGTGAGGGAGGATGGACCCCTTTGGTTGCCATAGAGACTATACACTTTCATCCTGCTATCGCCTGCAGCCATGTCTAGATTCTTCCAGGAGACAACTGTGATTTAAGAATTAATAAGGATTGTGGTTTTATTATGCTGAAGTTGGTTTTCCCCACACTCGAATAGCCTCCTTCACAAGACGTCCTGTAGGACCCAGTCCGTCCTTTGAGAGCAAAGTTCTTCCACCACAGAAGATCTGAGCACCCCTTTTGCAAGCTTTAAGTTTTAGTGTCTTTCTGGGGCACAGCTCCTTCCTCCAGAGGGCCCGTGGGTGAGTCCTGCTTTCATTCTTCATTCAAGACTCTCTGCTTGTGAGTCCTGCTTTCATTCTTCCCCAGGGGAAGGGCAGAGGACACAGCTTGGGGAGGAGGGGTCTGCTGGTTCTGGGGGAGCTGCTGTCCCCAAGGTCAGCCTCTTCCCTGCACCCTCTGGCAGTGAGCTGCTCAGAAAGGTGCTAGCCCCAAGGACCAAGCCTTGTCTTTCTTTGGTTTAGGCATGTATTTATCTGGCCTTTCCCACTCGAGGCCCTCAGAGAGATGGAGGGTGGCTTTCTCTGCATGGCCCATTTCCTGGAGGGCCCAGGGCAGCGGCTGGGCGTGTGGCTTGTGAGTCATTTGTCCAGGTGATTCTCAAGCACATGAGCTTAGTTGTGTGTGTGTGTGTGTGTGTGTGTGTGTGTGTGTGTGTGTGTTTCTTTTTGGTTGTGGGGAGTTGTTTGGCATTGAGAGGAGCAAAGAGAAGGGCAAGAATCCAGAATCCCCGGTTCTCTATTCTCTGGGGCCTGGTCCCTGCTGAGGGAGCGCCAGGCTAGGAGTGACACCTCAGGAGCCGTTGCCACAAGCTTCAGTCACTGGCCACTGCACTACTGTTCCTCTCCCCAGCCCACTCTGCTTCACCTTCCTGCCCATCCCCCTGGAGTCTCCCACATCTTCACACTCCCATCTCCACTCTTTCTGCTCCCCAACAAGCCCTAGGGACCTAAGTCTTACTGCTGCCTCAGGTGCAGATGACTGAGGCCCTGCGTCCCCTGGGCCCCATGCTGCTGTTCAATTCTGAGTTCTGATGCAGAACTCATCTCTTCCGGTCTGGCCTTACTGTGTTCCACTTCACCTCAACACACTCCACATATGGCCATAGACATGCATAAACCACATGTGTACCGTGCATGCACTCACACATACCACAGATGCACACATGTGCACTCCACATGTCCCTCATACTTGACACACACACCACACTCTCCATATACCACACTCCACCTACTGCAGCGGGTCCTCCCCACCAGAACCCTCCCCAGGTCCTGCCTCATCGCCTCCTCTGCCTCCATCCCTCCTGCCCTCTGTCTCCTGATTTACCTGTAGGCCACAATGTCCCAGAGCCCTGCCTTCCTCCTGGATGTCACATGCGAGCTCCAGTCTGGTCAATGCTGAGCCTCCAAGCCCAGCACGGGCCTGACCATTGCCTACCCAGGACAAGGTGACTGAGGAGTGACTTGGAAACCATGGCAGCTATTAAGACAAGGACACAGGAAGTCTGGCCTGTGGCAAGATGCAGACTTCAGGCCTGCTGGAGTCCCAGTGCCCAGACTGTGCCCAAGGAGCCTCTGTCCCTCAGCCTCACATCTGAGGGTGATTAGACTGGGCTTCTTGGCTCTCTTGGTGAATCAGATTAGGAGGCACTGTGCTGGGAGTTAAGCATCTGAGCCCAGAGCCATCTGCCCTGGGCTCAGCTCTGGAGAGCTGTGATCACCAAGGACATAAACAGCCCCGAGGGTGGGCACGCAGGACAGCAGGGACACCCTGAGCCAGTCCCTGTGGGCATGCACATTAGTCTGCTGCCCCCTCCAGGAGGCCTGTAAGCTCCTTTTCTCAGGACTGCAGGCTGCTGTGCCCACATCACACTGGATATCCTGTGTGGCTGTGCTGGGCAGAAGGGGTGTGGGTTCATGTGAGCCCTGCCTCTGCTGTCTTTCCCCAACAAGGATGCACCCTGTAGTTTGTTTGTATTTATCGGTTATTTGTGTTTATTGGTGTTTGTTTATTGTATTTATTGGTGTTTGCTTGTTTTTTCTTTCCAGGTGACATGCATCAGGAAGCTAGGCAGGGGGCCTTTGGGGGCCACAGGTGTTGGTACCAGAGGCCCAGGTGCCTTGGGATAGCTGAGACTGAAGTCCTGGCCAACTGCCTGGTCCTGATGCCTGGATCGCCAGGGGCCGGATGTGTCTGGATCTGTTCCGGGGCACGGCAGAGTCCTCCACTGCCATGCTGATGCGACCTGAGTCCTGGGCTGAGCCTACTTGTGTGTTCCAGGACCTGGAAGAGTTCTGGGTTCCTTGGAGCTCTTGCTCCTGAGAGGAGGCCCTCTGCACCACTGCTCACTGCTGCTCAGGTAGAAAGGGCTCAGGCATCCGGTGTCAGTGCTGCAGCCCGGACAGGAGGCCTGGCGGGGGCGCTACACCTGTGGGAGCGCCCCGGGCACCACCCAGGTCGGCAGCACTGGCTTGGGCCTGCAAGGTCTGCACCTCCTGATGCGGTTCCCTGCAGGGAGGAGCAGCCAGCCAGGAGGGCAAGGGTGGGAGGGAGGGTGGGCAAAGATGGGGCGGGAGAAAGGAAACACATTAGACTCATCCTCCAGCCCTGAAATGTCCGACCTCTCCCTCCTTCCTGCAGGCCTAGGGTCTGTGTGGCTTATGAGGTCACTCGCAACCATCTCAGCCCAGTGGGTCTGATTACAGCAGAGGGAGCAGAGCATGACACAGGTGGCCAGGAGGCCTGCCCATGGCGGCAGCACAGGGAAAGCCTGCCACGTTACTCCCACCTGTCTCCTCAGGCAGCAGGTGCTAGGCTCTGTGTACACAAAGCTGTCCTACAGTTTGTCTACACAGACCCTTTCCGCATCACTTTAAACAGCAGGACAGAGCCAAGTGTGGGGTACTCACCAGGCACTGGGGAGGCTGAGGCAGGAGGATTGCTGTGAGTTCTAGGCCAGCCTGAACTGTAGTCCCTATAGTGAGACCCTGTCTCAAATAAAACAAAACAAAATTCAGAAAGGATTTCTACAAATAATCTAAATACCATATGCAGGCTAGATAAGCGGCTAATTAGTAAGGACATGCCTCATGATGATGGAAACATTTCTTGGAGACAAAATCCCATGATTGTGATGACTATGTATCATCCCAAAGAAAAAGGTTATGATTTAATGCTACCCTAAAAAAATTTGATCTGTGTATTCAAAATAGGATAAATATTCAACTACTTTCTCTTAATTCAGTGAATAGAAAGATTTGTTCTAATAGTGTTTGTGAACAGGATAGCATGTCTGCATCTTGTACTATGAATAACCACTAAGAAGATAACAATATGCAATGCATTAATTATTGAAACGGTCCTACTAATCAGTTTTGAAACTGTGTCATTGTTGTTTCTCAATAAAATTATTTTTAAAAATATAAAAAAAAAATTGAAATGAGGTAGGAAGCCAGGCATGGTGGCACATACCTGTAATCCCAGGACTCTGGAGGGCTGAGGCAGGAGGATCCCAAATTCAAGCCCAGTCCAGGCAACTTAGCAACTTAGTGAGACTGTTTCAAATCAAAGAGGCTGGAATGTACCTCAGGGTCAAGGCCCTGCTTTCAAACTCAACTATGGTGTGGAGGGTAGGTACCATAAAAATAGAATGAGGGAAATGTTCTTATAGGAAAACAAAGGAGACAAAAGTGAATAAGAAGGGTTATTACGTTATGGTAATGAGATTATTTTTTCCCCTCTGGCTTCTAGGTTATTTCTACATGCTGTATAGTGTGAAAGTTAATTAACATAGAATCTGGAGTCAAATTATTTGGATTCAAAGCCCACGTGCTCTATGCACTTAGGTGTGTGGCTTGCAAAAAGTTAATTTACTTCTCTGTCACAACGAAGACAGTAGTCACCTAACTTTTGGGATTATTATGAGGATCAAATGCATTAGCAGATGGAAATATCACATCCAGAAACTGCTGTAGAAGTGCTAGGTATGAAACACGCTAATTATCACAGTCCACCCCCAGCCTCCTGTATTAACCCTAACAAAGTTCTAACATTGGTGTGATTTGCCTTTTCATCTTTCTTACTGCTGAAAGTGCCTTAATCTGCCCAGAGTGACCATCAGAGCAATACACAGCATAACTTACTCTTTTCCCTTAATGCTCTGTCAGGGGAGGCCCACAGCTTCCAGCTGGCCATGGGTCCCCCACTGCTGGGGATCTGACTCCAGGTTATGGCCAAGCAGCCCCTGGGCTGCCGGCAGAACAGCATTTCGGTCACTAAGGCGGCACTGGTGTGCAGATGGTGCAAATTCTTCTAAGGGCTTGAAGAGAAGCACCAGCGCTCCCCGCAAGACTCAAGTCTTCCTGTCAGGGCCACAGAGGTAGATACTCGCACAGCACCGATGATCACCCAGGGGGCTGCTGGTCCCCAGGGCTGGAAGTGAGCCATCCCCACCCTTGGAACCGAGTGTGGTGTGCACTGTGCGTGTGCATGTGTGTAGTGTACATGTGTGTTGGGGGTGTGGCAGTGTGGTGTCTGTGTGTTTGTGTATCTGCCTCTCTTCCTCCCCTTCTCTGTCCTCCTCCTCACTCCACCTGGGGTGGAGAGGTGCCATCAGACCCCTCTTCCCCACCTGGGCGAGGGCCTCACACTGTACCCGTAGCCCACTTATTTCAGCCCAACCCAGTGCATGGGAGCAGGGCCTGAGGCTGGGCCCACCGTCCTGGTGCTCTCCCTCCCTCCCTCCCTCCAGAGCTGGCCTGGCCCCTGGCCCACACTAGCTGAGAAGGACCTGCATTGGCGCTGGGCATGGGCGCTTCAGATCTGTGCTCTATTGGTACACCCTCCCTGTGCTGTTGGCCTCCTACCACAAGGCCACTGAAGTCCCCTGGTCTGCACCTGTCACCAGACCAGCAACCCCACTATGTCAGTGGGCAATGGCCCGGAGCCCAGAAGCCCTAGTACACCTGGCATGGGTCTGACCCCTCTGCCCATGGTGCCTGGGCAGCAGCCTTGCTCTTCCCCACCTCCAGGCTGTGCCTAGGACTGCAGTCAGGAAGCGTGGCTCCCCTCTTGGGACACTACTCCCTCCTGCCCCCAGCTGGAGCTCTCAGCACTGCATGGCCCATCCCATCCAAAGCTTGGACTTGCACTGGCAGGCCCCCGTACACATGGCTCACAGTCAGCCTGCCGGGGCCTGGGAGCACTATGCCCTTGGCTTCTCTGTGTCTTCTGCGCATGCCAGCTCATCAGTCTACTGCCTCCTCTGCTCCACCCACCACCTTCAGGCAGCTCCTGACCTTTCCTCAAGTGTCACAAATGTCACCTCCCATCACCTCCCTTTCAAGGGACCTGTGTACCCCATACCACTTCTTCTTTGCACCTTGCTTTTTCTTGACTCAATGTTCAGCTGGAAATGATACATTCAGTGCCCCTTGGAGGGGGGTGGGTTCCTCCTCTGGACTTTGAACTGCATGAGGTCGAGGTCACACTTGTCACGCACCTCTGATTTCATGCACAGGCCCCCGGAGCTGCCCTCCCCAGCAGAGCCCAGGCAGGGTGTAGAGCTTACTGTGCAGGTTAGAGCCGGGAGCTTGGCGGCAGCAGGGCCTAGGTTTCCGAATCTTGGTCCGAGGGCTTTTCGCTGAGGGTGGACACAAAGGAGAGCAGAGACCTCCCTTGGTGTGAGAAACACACTGAGGGAGTCTTTGCAGGGACAGCTTGTGAGGGCTTTTGTTCCCTAGGTCAGCTCCAGGATATGCTCCAGGACACTGAAGATGAGCCAGGCATGGGGGTGGAGGGGCCGACTTGCCGTATTTCACTTTTCTTAAGTAGCAAAGTGGACACGAGGAGGTTTGCTACCAGGATAAGTCCTCCCATTCCTGTTTGAGGAACAATTCAGGGCTGTGGCTCTAAAGTGTCCCTGACCTTCCACATGGTAATTCTTCCCTGGCAATCTAGTCCAGGGAAAGAATCGTGAATATAGCAAGGACTTTTCCAAGAGATGGCGGGAGAGTGGGAGGGAGAGAGGAAAGGAGGGAGGAAGGGATGGATGGGGGAGGGAGGAGTGTGCCAAGGGGGTATGAAAACAATGAAGCTGTGCTATGTAGACAGGCCCACTCCCTGGATGAATGTCACCATTCTGTACTGCAAACATGCAATACAAACTTTTGAAAAAAAGGTCATTGCTATGGCTTGTGTCTAGCCTCATGCAGTCATGGGGCAGACTTCTAAAGTTTAAGATTGATTCATGGCCCAGTGCTGGGATTAGTGTGTGAGCGCTACCCCTGCCCTCAGGTGGGCAGCCTGCATACAGTATAAGGGACGAAAAAGGCTCTGTCCTGCCTGCTCCTCTCCTTCTGGTCTTGCTGCTGTTGCTGTTTTCCACCTCCTCGAGTTGCTGCTCCCTGCCATGCACTACTGTCCTTTGAGTATGGACTGATATCGCCACAAATTGCAAGCTAAATAAACACATTGTTTCCTCTTTAATTTGGTTATGAGGTAGTCTGTCCCAGCAACTAGAGAAAAGTAACCAAGAATTATTTGCTATACACATGCCCACTGTACCATATTTGTAGTACAGTGCGCAGCTGTGAGCACCTGAATGTCTAAGCACGGAAGTTAACGATAGCAGCCTCCCGTGATGGCAGCTTAGGGATCAGCTGAATAACTCCACTTCCTGCATCGGCCAGGGAGAGTCCATGGCAACAGGGATTTCCAGAGACACCCATCCTCGTGAGCTGCTGTCTGAGTTACACTGCAGGCCTGTGCTCCTGATCAGTTCTAATCACCGTTTTCCTGGGAACATGCTCCCTGCAAAGCTCGAGCACATAAACACTTCCTGTAATCCTGCTACTCACAGGGGGCCGCTATCGACACTGTGGCGTGAATGAGCAAGTTCAGTATGAGTATTTTTAGGGACTGTAAGAAAAGAAGTGATAAGTGAAGGCAGTGTTGAACGTCTAAACTTATCATTAAAAAAATGATTCATGCAACTTAAAAAATGCTGAACATGGCTACTCTTCAACCATGAAATTATGGATGTTTTGCTCCCCTTCGCGTATGTCTATATGCTCAGCTCCAATAAATGTTAAAATAACCATAACCATGAAGACAAAATATAAAAGTAGGCAGTTTGCTAACGTGGTATAGAAGAGAAAAAGCCTGAAAGAGCATTCTGAAACAAGCATGACAGGAGAGCAAGATGCCTGAAAGAACACAAATGCCCACCAACAGAGAAATAGGTAAGATAAGAGGTGGGCTTATTATACAAGGGAGTACTACTCAGCTATAAGGAAGGATAAACTGGAGACTTTTATAGGTAAATGGATGCAACTTGAGACCATAATCATAAATGAAATAAACCACACACACACACACACACACACGTGTAAACATCGTATTGGCTCCCTAGTTTGAGAAGCTGAGAGTAAATAAGACCCAAAATGTACAATAGATATTGTGGAATGGTAAGAAACTTCAAAAGAAAAAGTACGATGGGGAAATGGAGAAAGAAAGGAAAGAAGGAAGAGAAAAGCCAGATATATATATATATATATATATATATATATATATATATAGAGAGAGAGAGAGAGAGAGAGAGATCAATAGATATAGATATATGTATATATGTCATATATAACATATAACATACAATATATAACATATGTATAATATATAATATATACATCAAGATAGTTATACTACTTTCTCTTAGTTCATCATAAAGAAAAGTTTGTGATAATATTGTTCAGATAATTAAATGCCAATATCTTATACACTGAGTAATTTAAAAATAAAAATAGGCCAATATTAACGTTACTGTTCTCTTTTTTTAAAGTTTTGCTTCATTCTTTCTCCTATGGCAGGTGGGCTAAGTCCTCTTCTCCAGGGAAGGGGCCACACTTTCCCATTCCCAAATACACTGCACGCCCAAGTCCCTCCTCCCAGCCCAGGGCCCATTTTCTGGGCATGGGTTTGAGAAGCTCAGACTCAGCAGAGAACTCATTCATGTATTCATCACTCGGCGTGGCTTCCCTCTGACCGGAGCACGCTGCAGACCACTCCGGAAGGTCCAAGTAGAAAGGACTTGGGCAGAGCACAGCTCGTGTGTCTAGGCTGGAAGGGGCGCTTCCCTTCGGCCTTTAGCATGTTTGGAAGAGCTCAGGGTGTGCCTGCCAGGGCCTGTTCTCTAGAACAGCCTGCTCCAACTTCCTCAGACCCTGGAGCCCTCGCTCAGGGCACAGCACAGGGGCAGCCTACCTTCCCCAGAGAAGAGGGAGGCGCAGAGCAGCAAGATGCAGAGGAGGCTGGACAGCACTTGAAGCCGCATGTCGAGGTGGTGAAGTCTGATGGCCCACGAGGAAGCTGTGCTGAATGGCAGCCTGCCTCCCTCAGTGCCACCACAGGCACTTTATACTGGCAGCCCCGGATCTCATAAAGAGGTGTGGTGGCCCCTCCCAACGGAAAAGGAACCAGCTTTTCGAGATGCTGAGGTTTAATGACCTGTAACATGTCAGCTCCAAGAGCCACCTGTGCCAGCCGGTGGCTCAGAGCAGGAAACTGTTGCTGCGGGAAGAACTGGATTGAACGTTAACTTTTAGTGTCAGTAAAATTCTGTGAAATGCAGATCTTCCTATTTGCTTCTTAGATACTGTTGAGAGAAGGACCATAAAATACCTTGCAGAGCCTTAGGCATGGCTGAAAAATCCTGATTTGGGTTTGAATCCTGATAAAACAGAGGTGCAACCTTGGACTGGTCTCTCAATGTCTCTAGATGTGCTGCCCCTCTGTGGAATGGGCATATATAAGTGTGGTAAGCTGTGTGTATCAGTTGGCCTTCACCCTGTGTAAAATTATGCAGAGCCATAGCTGGCTGTGAGTGCGCGATTAAGACAGCGATGAAATGAAAGGTACTTCAAGCTGGAGGTCAGTTTGATAGGTGGTGATGGGGGAGCATCTAACCAGGGCAGGCATGGGAGAGGCATGGGACACTCAGCTGTCACCCACTCCTAGAGGCAGTGCTGTAGGTCTCAGGCACTTGGGAGACACTGGCGATGCTGGGCATCATGGGGCTTGTACTGGTGGAGCCAACTGAGCAGACAGGCGACCACAACATTGTATATTAAGTGCCACCCATGCCAGAGGCCAGCAAGGGACACTGAACAGTCAGGGGATGAGTAGGGACAGGAGGTGGCTTTGCAGAGACAGGATACAGGAGGGAAGCTGGCATGGGAGGTCAGGTCATAGTGGGCTTCCTGGCTCAGTGGAGGATTGCCTGAGGTCTGAAAATGCCTGGCATGCAGGCTTTTAGCCTGGTAGACTGGTGACATAAATGGTCAGACTTCCCTTTCCATAAGGGATTGTCCCTGGGTGTTCCTTTAATAATGGCACATGTGTGCCTGAGCATGTGTAGGACCTAGGCCCTACTGTGAGGGGGTGGGTGTCCCTGGACCTAGGAGAGATGGGGGGTGGGTGCTTCCCATCCTCACCACGTGCCTCTGCCTGGGCTCTCCTTACCCACTCCTGATCCGGCTTCCATTCATCCTTCCAGACCTAGCTAGTCTCTCTTCCCAGTACAGCTTTGCCAGCCCTGGTACGGGCAGTGCCGGTGCATCATATAACTGTTACTTCTCAGTGTCCACGGCTGCAGAGGCTTTGGGGACATGCAGCCTGAACTCAGGAGGTGACTGGAACTCCAGGTTACTAGGGTTGGTGCAGGTGCTGTAGGCCTGGCAGGGCCGCTATGGTCAGCTGTGAGTCATCAGGGTTCTGCGATGCCCTGAATATGCCCATTCCATTGTGGCATCTGCCATTAGGCCCAGGGAAGTTGTCATGCAGCAACCACTGGTAGATATGGGCAAGAAGAGTAAGTCCCCACAAAGGGAGTGGCTCCATATACCCAGGCTGATGCCAAGAAGATTTAAGGATTGAGGAACATGCAAACACACTTCCGGGAATGAGATTTAAAAAAAAAAAAAATGTAGGGGTGAGGTTTCCATGAAGTAGAGCACAGTGTGGGGCTGTGCCTGGGTAGTGTAGATGGAGAGAAGAGAGTTTCAGGGAGTTTGTGCACATGCATGTGCACACGTGAACGCACATGCGCATGCACGCACACACACACACACACACACAAATTTATGTCTGTCCTTGAGATGGCTCCTCTGTCCTTTGCTTTATAAATGTGGCCCTTTAGCCACATTTATAAAGAACTGCTGCCAGTTCCCAACCTGCAAGGGCATGTGGGGAAGATGCCATGATTTATTCAACTCTCCCTGGTTCCTGGCAGAATACTCAGACATTTCCTGCTGCTGGAGACAGGTCCATGGTGGGTCTCCCCAGATCCAAGAGAGGAACTTAGGCTGTATGTTCAAGACAGCTCCACAACACACCAGTGGCCAGGAGATAGTTTGATAGTCAGCCTCTATGCTTTCACGTGTTTGCAGAAAGGCTAAAGTAGACCCGCATAAAGAAACCAGATACATCATGCTGGATTAGTCACAGGGGCAGCCCCAGGCTGATTCTATTAGCAGGGTGTGGTCTGCATCTGGAGGCCACCGCTGGGGCAGAAGTGGGAACTTGGAAGGCTCTGGGAGCTCACTGGTATCCACGTCAGAGCTGGTGCTTACAAGACGAGGCAGCCAACACCCGAAGTAGGATGAAGCTGGCCAGCACCCTATTGTTCTGTAGCCCAACTGGGCCAAGTTTCCTTAAGTGTGTATCCCAGGGGTGTTTGGGACTACAGGTCTGGTTTGCCTCAAGGATTAGTTCCACTATTTCATGACTTCTTTTTGTCCAAGGTGGCTTGGGAGTGCTGCCACCGAGCTCTCTGGGCAGCAGGACACCTTGGATTGGCACTCACTGTAAACTTTGCACTGGATGGCTCTAATTGATTCTGGCAGTAGAACTACCTACCTGGTGGAGCGGGCAGGGGTGAGACCAACACTAAAAGCTGAGATCTAATCACTTAGGGGGTGCATAACTAGGAGCAGATCCTTAGGGAAATGGAGAGCTGTCCAGACCTACCAACCAGCTAACTAAGACTCTGGTAACTTTCCTAGGGCTCCTCAGCCATTCAGACTGGATCCAGGAAGTGACTTTAGATTTGCACCACAGCCTTTTTCATTCATTACAGGACAGAGCCCTCAAGACACTGCCCAGCTAGGGTGGTAGGAATAGGTTACCTCAAAGGCTGTTTCTTACAGGTTTGCATACACCATTTACAGGAGTGCAGGTTTTCCTGGGACCATTTATTTCAGAACAGATTCCTGGACTTGCTTCTCCCCAAGCCCAGTACTGGACATGGAACCCGGGCCTCACATGTGCCAGGGACTGAGCCATATCCCCAACCTTTGCAGCTGCTTTTAATTCTCACAGTACTGAAGCAATGCAGGCCCATATTAAAATAACACAGGTTATAAAGTGTAAATTCCAGGCTCAGCTCTCTCCTCCAGGGACAATCACTGTTCACAGATTTTCACCTGCTTTTAACATTTCAAAGATAGCTGTCAACTTCTTATTTTTAAAAAGGAAGAAACACCTCCAGCTTTTTAGAATGTTCAACATCTCGAGTTGAGCTGAGAGGTGAAAATGAGAAGCATCTTAACAGGAACACCTTTTAAGTTTTAAGCATGTGCAGTTCTGATAATAATAAAAAAATCAAATTGTGGGGCTTAAATAATTTCCAAAGATGATTTTGAAAACTTTTCTGGTAGCTGTCCTGAGAAAAAAAATAAGGTCTCTAGAAACACACCTAGGATGCTGGGGATTTCACAAGGAAAAAACATGATTCAAGTCAAATCTGTCGTTTTTAGAGCAGCGAGCAAGGGTCCCAGTGTCCCAGCTTTTGTGCTGGGAGCATCTCTGCCCAACATCCTCCAATGTGTACTGGCAGTGCACTGTTCTCCTGTATTTTATAGACCCCGAAACTGATCTGAGTGATTTTCCTTCATTTGCTTGGCAAAGTGCAAAGCAGCTCATAACAAAGGGAGCGTCAGCCTCTATCTGGCTTTGCACTGAACTCTGGGGAAGTTGGCATTGACTTTCACCTTCAGGGAAGGGGAAGGCTCTAGACGTTTTGCAAAAAAGGGAACGAAGACTGGACTAGGTGCCCAAAGCTGTGGGGCTTTCGAGTTTTGGGAGTACTCACAAGCTGTGTGGCTAAGCCTCCAACCCCATTAATCTGAACCTCCTTGCAAGCCTTCAGTGTACTGGGTCTTACCTGCCTCCAGGAACCTGCTGCTCAGATCAGGGCTGGTAAGTGGGGCATTTGTCCCTTCCTCTGCCACCCATAGTGAGCCCTTGTGCTCACCGGTGCTGAGAATTTTACCACGGTTGTTCACTTGGGCCCAGTACCCCAGGTCAGTCTGTCCACTATTCTTGGGCATGGGGCTAGCGTGCTTCATCTTGACTGCTATCTGAGGAATCCCTGCCTGGCCTGAGAGCCCCCATCATGGAAGGCCTGGGGGTCCCCATGGCCACTGTGCCATGAGGCTTTGCCCTTGCTATTCCAGGGCCACTCCTGCTGGGTGCTGGAGCACTGAGGTCAGTCTGGCCGATGAGAGCAGCTTCTCAGTGCTGGTCTTCTGAGTTTTTCGTTCCCATCCCTCCATGTTTTTCTCAGCACATCTTACTATATGATCTTTGTCTCCCTACCTGCCCAACACTTGCTAAAAAGTCAGGGTTAGACCAGAGCTCTGCCGATTTTCACATATGAGGACTTAATATACTCAACTGTTGTCCTATACAGTTTTGGATATTATGTGGTCTTCTTCCCAAAGTGGGGCACATAGCTTTTTCTTCCTTCCTGTCACCCCTAGTATTTATTGTGGTTATTTATAGTTATTGTTATATTTTAACATGTTCAATTTAGCAGTTATCTAAACCTTCAGATTTTCAGTGAAATTATATTTAATTCCAAGTTTTTTCAATTTCAGGAAGCAGGGATTAAACCTGGGATCTTATGCTTGCCGTGCAGGTGCTTATGCTGCTGAACTGTATCTCCAGCTCAGCATGTTTTTGATCCATTTGTGTTCCGGTTGAGAACCAAAATGTCCCTCAAAGCACCATTAGCCCCTGGCTGGGTTCTCTGCTCAGTGGGCTCACTGGGTTCAGCAGGCTTACTGGGACACAGGATCTAATTAGAAGAGGTGGCTCCCTTGGGGCCCTTGTCCCTGGCTTTGCCTGGCTCAGCAGCCTTGCTCTCCCTCACTTCTACCTGGAGCCAACCAATTGAAACCCAGCCCAAACCTCTTCTCCCTTACGTTGTACAGGTCGGGTATGTCTGACCAACTAGGGGACTGATACAACCTAGAAGCCACTGGTTTCATTTCCCAATCCTGAGAATTCCCTTACTGCATGCTAACGTAGGTTATTTTATGATCCATTAATGTCTATAACTCTGGGGTACTGTTGAATTATACAGGGCAAAATGACTGAATTAACATAACACACCTTAGTTTTTCCGTCTAACTGTAACCTCCTGCTGTCTTGTAACCACTTCCCCTGCTTCTCCAAGTTCAATTACTCTGAGGCCAGGGATATAGCTCTTTGGCACAGTGCCTGCCTGGTGAATTCAAGGTCCCAAGTCAATTCTTGTTTTTTGTGAACATGCTGGAGTGAACACGAGCATGCAGACAGCAGGTTGTGACCAACAAATATGGTATTTTTTTTTTTTTTTTAATCTAGAGAGACACACATTACTAATCCCCCTCAGAAATCTCTCCCTCACTTCCCACTTATCCCACTGTTCTCAACATGTTCTGAAGCACCTTTTTATGTCTGTCTAAGACAGGCTGCCTTGAGCTCACTTTGTAGCTGGTCTCAAATTTAATGATCCTATGGCCTCAGCCTCCTGAGTGCTGGGATTACTCCCAGTCCTTTGTGGCTTTAGCTGTGCTGTCACGTCGGCCTCACTGTCTTGATGGGACTTAAATGTTGACTGTTCCTGGTCATTCTGACTCTGGGGCAGAGCCAGGCATACAGCAGCATACCTGGTGAAGGGGATGAAGCATGTTTATGAGGCTGCCTTTTCACTGAAGGCAATCAGCAGCTGCCACTGTATCTCTCATCATACCTTGGAAAGCCACTTAGGAAAGACATCAGAACTGCTTCAGCAAAGTACCAAGAAAAGTGAGGGAAATTATCCTGAGGGATTCATGGCGATGTTTCATTATAGTTATCTGATTTAAACATTTCCATCACACCTCATATATTAGCACATGGATTTCAAGTTCCCAGGATACATGCCCAAAGAGGAATTGCTGAATCTCACTCTCTTTTCCAGGGAAAACATGTCTCTAAAAATTGCTCCACCTCTGACTTGTGCTGACATTTCAGGGTCAGGGTCCTTGGAATTACCCTTTCTTACCACAATTAGGAGGAAAGAGAATGTGCATGGGCATGTGCACCTGTAAATAGAAATGAAAGGTCTAAATGACTGACACCACTTTCAAGTGTGGATCTCTGCAGAAAATGAGTAGATGCAGCAGGAGGGCGTGGAGAAAGAAGCAGGAATGTCAAGGCCTTTTGCTTTCACCAAGACTAGGGGCTGGAGAACAGTAAAGGTTTGAGATGATTCCCACATATGTGTAACCCATACCTACAAACTGGCAGGCTTCCCAAGAGAGATGCCACCTCACTTTTCTTATCCTCACTCAAAACCCACCATGGTCCAGGAGTCAACTTCAACCGCTGGAAGTGCCTCAAGGCTACAAGGGCCTTGAGGGTTGTGTCTAGTGCTGCTTGTCAGGAACCAGTCCATGTGGCTGAGTCTTTCTGCTTGTTCCCTAACCTGAGAAGTGTCCTCCAAAGTGTTGTAATGATTTTGGCTTTCTATGTGTATTTTCCTATAATCACTTGGGCAGCTGTATGGTGCAAAGATACCCTATTTTCTTATCAAATACCCATTTTTTTCCTGCTACTCAAAATTTTCAATTGAAAATGTCAGTGCTCTTTAATCACTACTCTATACTTAGGTCTTGTGAGACACCCAAGGATGGCATCACATAGCTCTTCACAGACACAGACACAGACACAGACACACTCTCTCTCTGTCCCATAGGCACTAGAAAGCCTTTCACACATGCACGAAACTAGAGGAGTCAGCAGGTTGGAGGTGAGCTCTCCACTGAGTCAGAACATTGCAGTTCTGCGTGCTAGACACACACTGTCCCCAAGGCTCTGGCACATTTGGATCTTTCCTCCAAACTCCTTTGACACGTCTCTTGACAGTCATTCGGTACTTTCAGAATGAGCCCATCCTGAGTCACTCGACTCAGGATGCTTCCCATGATTTAACTATGGCTTAACAGTGTGCTCAACTCCTATTGCAACCTCGGAGGAGTGACTCACGTGAAGATCAATGGTGTGATTAGGGCAATGAGTTCCCGACCTGAGGTAGGGGCTTCTGCCTTCGGTACTGCCTCCCAAGTCAGCAGGGCCAGCTGACTTCCAGGTTCACTTCTGGTCACTGCCTATACTCGTGGCCCCGTTCTCCAGGATGCTGTCCTCCAGACAACGTTTCCAGTCATGTATCCAAGTCTTCCCAAAGCTGGCGCTGAGAACTGACTCCATCACTGAGTAGCACAGGGTCTGAACCAATTATATCTGTTACTCTCTGTGAGCAAGTCAAGCCAGGAATGCTCACTTCCACTCATACTCCTTATGCAAGTCTTCCCGTGTTGCTGACATCAGTCTACCCACATGCAGCCTTGTCTGTTGATACGAAGATCCTCTCAGAATTACCAGTTCCTGCAGCCCCTTCCAGTGCTCAGTCCTGAGACACCTGACAGATCACAGCTGTGTGCACATAGCGGCTGCACTCTGGGAGGTAGCTGCTCTTCATCAGCCAGGGTGGTGACAGTTACCCTGGGTGGGTATGTGTGCTCTCACAGATACTCACTACATACCCTCAACCACACATCTCCAGTTACCCTGAACACTGCAGATGGCTTGTGAGGAAATGCAACAGAGATGCTGTCCTTTGTTTTCCCTAAGGCCTACTTGCAGCTTACTGAGAGAGCTGTGAGGAAAACGAAAACAGAAACAGAAACACTGTGGTATGCTAACAGAAGCCAATTATCAGAGATATGTTATTTCAGAATTATCATTCACATGCTATGTAGCTCAGTTTCATATTTTATAGTGTTTACTATCCTAGAAAAGTTAGGTACTAACTTAGTACTATCACTCAATTTAAAAATAAAATCCTGATTTTTCTAAATCAACCTTTCCCTGATACCACTGCTAAAATTATACCAGTTTTGTTCTGTATACAGTACCACCCAAAAATACACAACCTTCGGGTTCTGGACCATGATCAAAGGTAACGGACCTTGTAATTAATGTTGCAGGGAGGCACAGAGAGGTTGAGGCAAGATAGAAATCTAGCATTTCCTTTAAAAATAAAACCAAAAAACTCAGGGAAAAAAAATACCAAACCACTGTCAGAAGCTAAAACTTACATAGTAGATATCAGGGTTCTACACATTTAACCTTAACCTGATGAAGTAGGTTTTGTTAGCATTTCATTTAACAGATGAGGAAAATGGGCATGCGAAGGTTAAAAAGATCTCTCCAGTGTCACATAAGAACTAAGCAGAAGTGTTAAAAGTTACAGGCAAGCTTTGCACAGTGGCAGTATTACAGTTAAATGAGGTTTATCCGAAGTGTGATTATTGCTAAGAATTAAACAAATCCCTTGCCAAATAATGTGGGTACAGTTCAGCTACAAAAAGTAGACCAATCACCATCTGGCCAGAAGCTTTATTGTGTTATAAATAAGCACTTTATATACTTTGAGATGGTTAAAAGTTACTTCCAGATTACTGCAATGAATATTTATCAAAAATAGCAATCATCTCAGTAATCATATACACTTCCTCCCATCACTAAAGACTTCCACTTTTGTGTCAAAAAACTTACAAATGTCATGAACAAGCTAAGAAATGGCCTATACAAGACAAAAAGAAAATTCTGCTGGGGAAAGTAACAAAGCACTTCCCCCACTCTACTTCTGATTCATATTTTTCATAGACAGTTAGCTTTGCTTTACAGTGCTTCACCTGAGAGGGAATGCAAAATACTAAGTTTTAGGAGAAAAACTGCTTTCATC